CATGATCATGTACAACTAAAATTATGTTCGAATTCCTGATGTTGACAGGTCGTTTCGGTAACAAGACGAAAGTCGTTTTGGTACTTTTTTCGGGTCGTTTCGGGACATGTCACAAGTCGTTTCGGTAATTTTATTTTATTTCTTCTGTAAATACCAGTGTCTTTATTCTTTAATCATATTTCATCAGCAAATAAATTTGAACAATGGATTGGGTAAAAGCTATTACAATGTATCATAGCCTTCTCCCGTCATACATTTCCCATTATGTATAATATTCACAGACAAAAATTAAAAACATTTTACAAACCAGATTTCTGGATTTGATGAATATTGATCCACATATCGTAAACATATTTTACGTTTTTAATTTCGTGAAATTAACTTTTAAAATGCTAAAATCAATATATAAACTCATTCCTCTCTTAATGTCAATAATGGAGAATAGAGTGTTTGAAAACATATTATTACAATATCAAACAAGGAACCTATCAATAACGAAAGAAATTGAATATTAAATTTCATAAGTTCCTCTCTGTATTTGATAATGATATAAGTTCCTCTCTGTATTTGATATTGATACTAGTTTCACCAAGTAATACTCAGTTAATCGGGTAAAGGTTGGTAGGTTTCCCCTCTAGTAATCTGGTAACACTTATAATGATCCCAGGCACGGGGAGGTCGTGACGCAGGTCATAGTCTAAAACCATACTTGAGTATTTACTTTATAAGAATCGGGAGGGAAATGCAATTTAGAAGTGAACATTTTATATGTCCCGAAACATTTTGTGTTATGTCCCGAAACGTCTTCGGGACTCCCGAACCGACCTGTTACCGAAACGACTTGCATTCCTCCTGATTCACCTTATCTTATGTACTGTGATTATACATTTATAGTGAATTGCAATTGTAGTATAATGAAGTGCAGTTATAATAAATGGACCATTTTTATGATGTACAATTAATTTGATAAACAGTTATTTTAATACAAATTTCATGATATTCAACTAATATGACGTACAAAGAAATAATGTCCACAATATACAATTGTTTATGTAGTAAATACGTCTCTGGTTTATCTAAGTTAATGTGCATGTGATGTGATATGCGGATATCAGTATATTGCTATTATGTGTAACACTATATTACTATGCTGTAATTTTTCACTTTGCAGACAATAATTAATCTTATAATTAAAGTGAGTATACTTACGTGATTATCTATGTGCCCCTCCCTGCTGATTGTGAGACGTTCTTTTTGGAACTGATATGAATCGTCACCTGTAACATTCGCCAGGAATGGGTGAGTCCAATCTCCATTGACAGCAAGGGGTAAAGTTAAAAGCTTTATGTATACCAGGCTAAAGTTATTTATTACGGTAGGGACAAACACATTGAATATAATGTATATGTAGATGAAAAGTACATTAAAAGTTCATAAAAGAGAAATAATATGTTATTTAAAAAAAGTTATAACAGAAGTCTTTTAACAATGTACCCATGACATAAGAATAGACCCACCCGGTAGTTTCGGGGGGACGGGCCACCAGGATCAGTCGACAACCGCCGCCCACTGGACGCCGTCTCGATGCATGGCTTCTTTGATGTGACGTAATGTCGGTCAACATTGTGTTAGTTGGAGCGCGTGACTTTGATGCGACTACAGTCTCAGACATAAGTTCTATCTCAGCTATAGTTAGTGACACTAATTAAACGCGAAACACAGTTAACACGTTAATTAATCAGGACAAAATTATATATATTATTTATTGATAAATTGTTATGTGCTATTTTTCTACCCAAAACGTTTTTATGCATTAAAACCCCCCAGCAATAATGCTTTAGAATACATTGTCAGACATTATAGACAACAAACGGTTGTAACAAAACCGTAACTTATACGGTTTACAAAACGGAACTGAATCTCCAAAGCTCCACTTTGTTTCTCTGAGTCACATTTAGTGGGTTTTGTAAATCAATAACAAGTGATTGTCGTTGTTTTTGTTCGTGTATTTATTATTTGATTGCTCTTTATCGCCAATTAGAGTTTTTATTATTTGATTGCTCTTTATCGCCAATTAGAGTTTCTTTTCGATAATGAATCTGAAATCAAATGTTGAATAACACGCCATTTTTTATTCAATTTTAGGAAAAAAAATTAATCTAAGTTTTCGTAGAGACAAATATAGTACACGTCTCTGATACCCGCTCTACGATGTTGATAGTTCTATATTTTTGTTATATTATAGATATTATTGTAGTAAGTGTCAATAAAATTTTATGAAATTGATTCGTTTGTTAAAAGGTCGAAGGTCAATGTTTGCTGAAAGGTCGAAGGTATCTTTTCCGAAAAGTGTCTTTCCTTGCATTTATTTTCACTTGATAAAAAAGCATAGGACACAACTCTGGATGTCTCTACTATAACCTATATTAAAGCCAAATGACCTATGACACATGAATTTTGCTATATATTTTTGCTAACAAATATTACGGCCTATTTTTATACAAGTCCAAACCAACATAAATTGAAAGGAATGTTCACAATTTTTAATATGAAATTGTTAAAAAGTGTAAGCTTATTTGTTCACAAATTAACAAAAGCACTATAGTGTCTCTATTATATAAGTTTTTTCTTCCGTTTGCTAGTGACATTTTATATACGTTGAACACTGAATCAATTGTATGTAACTAGACGTATATATATGTAATTATGTACCATGCTATGATATAGAATGTTTGACTGTCATGCACTCAAACTATGTTATTATACATGACCTGTTGTTACACACATTTATGTTTGAGTGAAATAAAAATCTTGAAAAATCAAATTTTGAAAATTCTTAAAATCTTGCTAACCATGGAGAAGATGTGTATGTCCAGGGACAGTGTATATTACACTATACGTCCCTGCTATGTCCTATATGAAATTTTATTTTTATTTTTGGTAGAGTATAATTCTATCAGACAAAAATCGAAAAGAGGAAAATCAAATGTGCTTAACCGGTAACGCAAAAGGATTTGGAGAGAAAAAATAGGGCAGAAAATGTTATTAGATTTCACGAAAATGCAAATTATATACCCAGAGAAAGTAATGGATTCTATAATGAGAATCAGATTCAGATTTGTATTTGCTTGTGTTTGCAATATATTTGCTTAAAAAGATAACTTCATAACGTTTAAGTTAAGGATTTAACATTTATCACGATGTTAAATAGTATAAATACATATACCATCAAAATCTATTTTTGTTTGATTTGTATTGCCTTTCACAGTGATTGCACAGTAGCCCAGAACTTTAATGAAAATTCCGAATCTACAGGTACAATATTTCAGTACTGTAAGTGTATCGAGACATACAGGCGAAGCTACAAGCTCTCGGGATTCCGTTGGTTGTACTCCATTCCATCTTTTAGACCAGGGTTGGTAATTAGTTCTTGACCACGGACTTACATAGCTAGAATAGCTCTTCAGAGATAATTAATGTTTCATTATTAATATGCGACAAAATATTTTTTCGTTTATCTTGTATCTTGTAGATAGCAATCTAATCTGATTCCGTGACTTGACGTACATATACTATTTCAGAAGGCACGTTCTATGAACAAGAGATAGAAAGATATTTTTTTACAGTAGTCCTTTTCAAGGTATAATGGATACAATTCGACCTTTGGCCATAAAAAGCAAACGGTGATCAATTTAATAAAGATTAAAAGAAAAGCATAATAATGTGTGAATCTTACACTTAAATATGTTATTTTATGTTAAATTCCAATTATACTGAATTGTCATACGATTTCCCGCCAATTAAATGTTTTAAGTCGCTGTAAATTAAGGGGAATACATTTTTTTTTTTTTTTTTATATATATATATTATGGAGGATAGTGATAGTATCTACGGTATGTGGATATTTCATCAAAATTCTGCATACATGTATTTCTTTTGATGACTTAATACAGTGCTTGAATACCAAAGAATTATATTCCAGATGTAGAATCTAGTATGTTAATTCCCATCCTGAATCAAAACTACCTGCTTTCAAATTGCCACAGTAAGAAAAATGCACAACAGTCATCGATTTTCTTTGGATTTAAGTTAAATTAACTTGTTGGTCAGAAAAATGACTACATGTTCTTAGAAAAAAGTTTGATGCTCATATATATAGCCATTATATTATTAATCCATCATCCTTAATTTAATTCTTCCCTGCAGGTAGGGAGTAAGAATTGTACCTGCTGCCCCCAATTGCATGATCGTAAGAGGCGACTGAATTGGGCACCTTATCTATTCTCTCCTTTCTAAATAACGTTCTTCTTCCTAATGTCTCCATTGACAATGCCTCACTTTTGGCCATTTGTTGAGCGTTCGCCCCTGCCGCGATGAAGGCTTTGGGTTCTGTCCTCTGGCCGAGACATATACCAAAGTCTTTAAAAAGGGCACTTTCTACTCCTGCTTAACGCTCAGCATATCAGGAGTGGGACGACTGGTTCGCCCGTTGTCAGTATAATGTGACCGGGTGGGGCGTCCTGTTGGGTGTCTTCGGCAGTATATATATATGTTTCAGTGAGGTAGCACTATAAAGTCGGCATCAGTTCCGCGCTATCACAAGGTGACAAACACGAACATATCGCAGACTCCCAAAATATACACACATACACTACACGCATGCATCTTGCACACAGGGGAGGCCGTCCTTAAAGACCTCAGCTGTTAATAGGACGTTAAACAAAATAAAACCAAACCAAATTAATTCAACTTGATTAACGCAGAGACGTATAAAGCCATATGTGTTATATACGTCTCTGATTAACGCCATTCGGAGCTAGATACTCGGAAATCTAGGGCGCCTTATTTCTGTAGAGATTTATGTATAAACGAACAAATAAAACGAACTGTTTACATTATAGAAAAAAAGCATTACACAGACTCTATTGATTTCCAAGATCACTAATGCAAAAACAGTTTTCTATCCTTTATTTTCAATTACTTAAGTGGCGCCGCGACGTCGCTTACAACAATGTACATGTGTCGTGTGGCAGATTGTTGATAAATGACAGGATGCATCTAAGTTGCATTTCCATGAACATAACGAAGTGATGTCCAGGTCGGTGTTGACGTGAACTACAACATGTTATTCACGTAAAGGTTCAGTCCACCTGTCACATATAGTAGGAGAAGGTTTATGACAACTGCTCGTCATATTGTTTACGTGTAAACTTAACCGGTAAGCCTCTTTCTCTAGATGACCCGGTAATGACAGCTATGTTACTGTTGATCATTTATACACTTCAGTGTCTGTACGCACTATAAATGATAATGGGAAGTCAATATAAGGTGTAGTATACTGTCGTGATCCGTGATGATGTCTTGTCGTAAGAATTTAAAGGAATGAAGAGTAAGGATTTGTAACAACAGGTTTATTAGGGGTTATTTTAACTAGCAGTAGGCTGTCATAAAACATAATATGCTCTAAATGTGTTATGGGTCAGCACGCTGAACATAAATGTCATCATTGGTACCATCACGAACTTAGATAACTAATCTAATTCTGTGGTACCATGGATATGTGCAGTATAAGGCAACTAGCTGCAACAAATCTCTGTCCTGGTGGTATACACATAAGACGATCAAGGCACAGTGAGTGTCATCAAAATTCTTTCCACCCTATCTCCTGTAGAACGTCCATGAGGAAAGATTCCTTCTTTCCCCAGGCAATCAATGATTGGAACACACTTCCATCTGAAATTTCATCAGCAGACACCCTTTTTCCTTCAAATCAGTAATCTCCTCCTTAAAGTGTTAATTCTATTCCTTTCCTTTCCTTTCCTTTTCGATGCCACAATCATATGACAAAATCTTCAACCAGTTGAGGTAGGTAATCATCTGGTAGAAGTAGAAATGTAAAAGATGTGCATTGATTAGGTTGCCTTACAATCGTCAGCTGTAGGGACTTTCCCTTTAGTCATCCGCGGTAATTTAGCATCGGGCAGGAGAGCCAAGGGTTGCGAGTTCGAGCCCCAGCGACGGCACTTTCTTTATCACTATTCCTCGTCCTATTACAAATTGTTGACGTTGACCCTCCCCGTTCAAGGTAGGAGAACCTGGGTTGGTGTTAGAAAAAAGGGGGGAATAGTGTAAAAGATGTGCATTGATTAGGTTGCCTTACAAGTGTCAGCTGTAGGGAATTTTCCTTTTAGCTCAGCGGTAGAGCAACGGGAGAGCCAAAGGTCACGGGTACGAGCCCTAGCGACGGCACTATCTTGATCACTATTCCTCGTCCTATTACAGAAATATCACTTTAAGCTGGGTGAATGCTTAGCAAGGAGATATCAAAATCTGAGTTGCAGATAGGTGTGTCTTTGGGGGAAAAGATTTGACTGCAGTTTAAACCATTTAACAAACAGAACTGAAATATAAAGCATTCGTGTTCAGTTAGTCTGAACTAACTGACATATTAATCTCCTTTTTAGCTAGCTACTGCCTTGCCTGAAATCACTATCTCCTATTTAAAAAGGAGATAGTCAGTTAGTTCACTCTTGACTAACTGTGAACAAAGGTTATTTATTTAAGTACTGCTTGTTAAATTGTTTCAACTGGAGTAACATGTCATGGACAGTAATTATTAGTGTATCATATTAATAAATATGTTCATTTTCTGATACTAGCCCCTTGTTGTATTATGAAAAGTGCAGAACTAATTGGATATTTGAAAAATAATGATAATGCTATATATCTGTAACAAGAAAAAGAGAAATGCAACGGCCGTGCAGACTAGGATTTGAACCTGGAACCCTCTGAACTCTAGTGACACTCTACCAATTGAGCTTCCTGGTCGCTGATGATCGACCCGGTCAAGTTCTACTACATTCCTACCTCCTTTTTCTAGGTCTCTGCCCCCGAAAACACAGCTATCTGCAACTCAGGTTCGGATATATATCTCCTTGCTTAGCATTCACCCAGTGCTTGAATTAAACAAGGATTGGCAAGCTCGCCAATTTTGTAACAGGAGAAAGAGAAATGCAACAGCCAGACCAGGATTCGAAACAAATTACCCTCCAAATCCTAGATGGACATTTTTTTTAACAATTGACCTACCTGCAGGTCACTTAAAATTGACCCATCCCAGTTTGGTTACATATCTTATTCCATTAAGCATGTTTTTATGAAAATCAGCAGGAAGACATTTTTATTGAGTCCTGGTTATTTATTTTTAGGTCACCTGAGATTTCTCAGGTGACCTATTGCGATCGCCTTGTTTCCTTCGTCGTGCGGGGAGCGTCGTCATGCGGTGTCGTGCGTCTGTAAACAATTTACATTTTCAACTTCTTCTCAAAATCCCCTGAACCAATTTACATAAAATTGTGCAGAAACCTTCCATTGCCAAAGGTCAACTGAACATGTGAATTGTATGGTTCCCAGCCCCCAGGGGCCTGATGGGCAGACCCTGGGGTCTGACGTTTCCCCCTGGGGAGGGGGTAAACTTTACTATGGTTTATATAGGGAAATCACATTTTGGACCAACATTTGTTTAATTTCCATTGGAATTAATTCAATTTGGGTTAGCATTATCAGTATTGGATAGCAGTTTGATGGTTACATATGCACATATCGGCCCTGACTGACCCCCAGGGGCTGATGGATGGGGCCAAAAACGGTCGAATTGACTTAAATTTTGAAAATCTTCTTCTCAAGACCCAGATATGGAAGAATCAAATACTCTTCACAGATGGAAGGGTCTTAAGGTGCTTTACCAAAAGTGTGAATTTCATGATCCTGGTTGTCTCATGTGGTGGCAAAATTTATTATGGTTTATATTGGGCTTATTGGCAAACGATACTTTGGATATTACATGTTGTTAACTTGATTGGAATTACAACCCTGAGTTGACAGTTTGATACTTTGAAAATTTTGAGCCAGCCCTACCCCCAAGGGCTGTAGGGTGGGGCCTCAAGGAGTCAGTGTGCTAAAATTTCTTCATTTTCCTTGTTTAGAATCAGAGGAGCTAGTTTCAAATACTTTTCAGTCTTAAATCTGTATGCTAGATATTGAATAAGGTGGTTTTATTGTTTTTTGTCACTTTGAATAATATTTCTGTACATGTTTTAAATATATCAGAAATCAGGTGAGCATTCAGGCCTCTTGTTATCATCTGTTTTTGTTCTGATGTCCAAATGAAATTTGTATAATGTTAATTCTTAATCTTTTGCTAATTTTCAGGACTTGTGTGCAATGGGGAAGAAGAAAAAGCATGCTGACTTGGAAAGGCTCAGAGGAATGGTCACTCCTACAGCCTCAGCAGTCAAAAAGTCTGTATGTTCTGTAGGATTTATAGCAGCAGCCATCAAGATCCTTGCTCTGGTCGTGTTTTATTACATATTTTCCATCGGCCTCACATTCTACAATAAAGCCTTCATTCATGTAAGTCTGTCTGTTTATATTATCTAGTACACTGCAGTCTTAATGATCTGGTTTCTGAACATTCGATCAGCATCTTAATTGCTCGATCGTCACTGTCTCACTGATGGTCAGGAACTATTTAACTAGTTTATATAAGTCTTAACAATTCATCAATATGATGAGGTATACAGTGCAGCACCAAATAAAGTTGATAATTAATAGGAGTAGCAAACCTGAAGAAATGGAAATGTATCAAGTATTGCAATTGATCAAGCTCATCATTAATTCTTCAATGTCTCTGAAAGCAGAGGAGGGAAGTGGGGAAATCACAGATTCTGTAGGGGCTCCTCAATAGTTGTCTCATCTAATACAGGGAAATACCCCAGGTGTACCAGTCCCAGTATTCTTTCCTCAAAACTGCAGGTGGTTTAGGAATTAAATTGTTAGTTCTTTTTTATTCAAGAAAAACTAGCTACATGTATATAAAGTATAAGGTCACAATGGACATATGTTGAGGAACCACAAAGCTAAATCTGAACTGTTATTAATATTCACTAATCAGATAGTCATATTCTCCTGATCGCAAGACAAAAACTGTCCGTCTGTTTTACCTTCAGACAGGTTTTGCCTCAAACCTATACATGTTATTTTGTGCTGATTGTGCTTTTGACACATAATTCTTTACTTATAAATATTTATTTTTAACTTCATGTATTGTAAGTGCATTTTTTTCTGCTTTACAGCATTTCCAGATTCCTCTGTCTTTCACCCTATCTCATCTCATCATTAAATATATGTTGGCTGGACTAATACGATGTATTGTGGAATGTAGGACAAAGAAAGAGAGGATAAATCTGCCCTGGCGCCCTTTCTTACTCAAGTTAGCTCCAACAGGTAATGTGTTACTGTTAGCTCCAACAGGTAATGTGTTACCGTTAGCTCCAACAGGTAATGTGTTACTGTTAGCTCCAACAGGTATAATGTTGTTACTTTTAGCTCCAACAAGTAATGTGTTACTGTTAGCTCCAACAGGTATAATGTTGTTACCGTTAGCTCCAACAGGTAATGTGTTACCGTTAGCTCCAACAGGTAGTGTGTTACTGTTAGCTCCAACAGGTATAATGTTGTTACCGTGAGCTCCAACAGGTAATGTGTTACTGTCAGCTCCAACAGGTATAATGTTGTTACTGTTAGCTCCAACAGGTAAGGTGTTACTGTTAGCTCCAACAGGTAAGGTGTTACTGTTAGCTCCAACAGGTATAATGTTGTTACTGTTAGCTCCAACAGGTAAGGTGTTACTGTTAGCTCCAACAGGTACTGTTAGCTCCAACAGGTAATGTGTTACCGCTAGCTCCAACAGGTAATGTGTTACTGTCAGCTCCAACAGGTATAATGTTGTTACCGTGAGCTCCAACAGGTAATGTGTTACCGTTAGCTCCAACAGGTAATGTGTTACTGTTAGTTCCAACAGGTAATGTCTTCTTAGTCCCCCACCGGTTTGCACTCTGTCTTACCGTTCTTCTGTCTTTCCATCTGTCTGTCTGTCCATTCACCCAAGAAGTTTGTCCGGGTCATATCTTCTATACTAATTCATCTGGAGTAACCAAATTTGGTGTACAAGGACATCTTAGGATGGCGGAGTGCAGAGTGCAAGAATCAGGTCACTGTTATGTATGACTTGACCTTTGACCTTCACTTTTTATTTTTTTTTGTCCAGGGCATATCTTCTATACTTTTTCACCTGGAGTGTCCATATTTGGTGTACAAGAACATCGGGTGGCGGAGTGCAAGAATTAGGTCACTATGACCTCACTGTGACCTATGCTTCCTGACATAAGGGTACTGTTTGTTAAATATGTAAATCATTACCGGTGGGGGACTATGGATTGCCTTGCAATACTTTGCCTTGTTACAGTTAGTTTCAACAGGTAAAGTCACAATTCAGTTAGCTCCAACAGGTGATGTCTTATTATAGTTAGCTGCGACAGGTAATATCTAATTACAAATAGCTCCAACAAATAATATACATTGGTACATGTATCTTTATACAAGTACATATGTTACTTTAACAGGCAATATCTTATTACAGATAGCTCCAACAGGCTAATTAATGTCTTAGTACAGTAATATACTAAACAGGTCAATGTTTCAAAAGAAAATCAGAGTATTAAAACCCTACAAGTTTCAATAGACCGTTAGTTTCATTAAGAGTTACTGTTATGAAGGTCAAGGTCATAGCCTGTAAGAACGACAGGTCCTAACTGTTCTTCAATGCAAAACCAGTCCTTTCTACAGTTTTGTTCCTAAAGCACTGTCACATACTATTTCAACTGCTCCAAGATTACCAGATATGTATTTTTAGGTCACCTGAGCTTTGCTCAAATGACCTATTCTAATCACTTTCCGTCCGTCGATCGTCGTCCGTCGTGTGTAAACTTTTTACATTTTCAACTTCTTCTCAAGAACCAGTAGATGGATTTTTTTCAAACTTGTTCAGATCATGGTAGATGAGGCTACAAAATTGTAAAATTGGAATTCCTACTCCCTACCCCTGGGGCCAGGGCGGGGCCCCAAAGGGAAAATTAACCAATATTTCAAAAATCTTCCTTCTCCAGACTCAGAGGTACTACTTTCAATTTCAGTGCATAAAAAGTAAGATCATCAGGGGCTTTATTTAAATTGTAAATTTCAGGACCCCCAAGCTATCCATTCTCCCTTGGGGAGGGGGTTAAATTTACTATAGTTTATACAGTGTATAGGAAAATAACACTTTTGGGTATATTTTGACAACTTTCTGTAGGAAATTATTTTTACTTGATGAGAATTATCCTTGGAGGAAGATGGTTTCAATTTGTAAAATTGAGATTCCTACCCCAACCCCTTGGACTAGGGCATGGCACCAAAGGGAAAATTTACCAATATTTCAAAAATCTTCTTCTCCAGACTCAGAGGTACTACATCTATTTCAGTGCATAAAAAGAAAGATCATTAGGGGCTTTATTTAAATTGTAAATTTTAGGACCCCCAAGCTATCCGTTCTCCCTTGGGGAGGGGGTAATGTTTACTATAGTTTATAAAGGGAAATAACATTTTTGGGTATATTTTATCCATTTTCAGCAGAAAATTACTCAAACTTAGTCATAATCATCTTTGGTGAATGAGGGTATTACATTGTAAAATTAGGATTCCTGCCCGATCCCCAGGGGCTAGGGTGGGGCCCCAAAGGGAACATTTACCAATATTTTCAAATTCTTATCCTTTAATGACATGACAAGTATTGTATTTCACTTAGTTTACATGCTGATTCCCACGTCACATCTAAACAATAAAATAAAGCTACCAGTACCTATGATATAACTCAGGTGACCGCTAAGGCCCTTGGGCCTCTTGCATTATGTGCCTCTTTAATTAAAAACATTAAACTTTTTTGGAGCAAAGCTTCAAATGTTTAGGCCAAGAACTCCTTTTGAAAAAATACAAGAAGTGACCATGAACTGATATGAATATGGTGTGATGTCATGGTTAAAGAATATTTTAATGATTTAAAAAAAATATTATTGTATTTTTATTGTAGGCATTGCCAGCAGTATAGACATTGGGTTGTCCAATTGGAGCTTTGAGTTCATAACTGTATCATTGTAAGTTATACTCTTCTACAAGTAACTATATACTGGTGCTTTTGTTGTCGTGTTATTATCTTGACACATTGTATATACATGACCTTACATTAAAGAAAAAGTTATGAAAAGCAAAAATTCAATTTGTGTCAACAAAGTTTCTGATTTTATGGAAATATTTATTTTTGAAAAGGTAATCGTTTTTGACATTTTTGTGCTGCATAGTTGTTTTTGTTTATAGTTGTATTCCATTAATGGAAACCAAGTAGTATTTCCACTGTAAAACAATGTTTCATTTTTTCATACAATTTAGAATAGAGATTTTATTTTGACCCAAACTTTCTGTAATGGCACTGATCATGGTACAGCCATGTTCAAACAATGTTTCACTTTAAGTGAATAAAGTGTCATTTACCTGTACTGATTAAGAGGGTATTGTAATATTGGCTAACTATAAATGGTATAATTTTTGTTTTAATAGTTACTTACTATAGAATTTAATATCATTATTATTATAATCTATTTTCATTTTTTTACAGGTATACCATGACTAAATCAACAGCTGTGATATTCATTCTGGGATTTTCTATTTTATTTAGAATAGAAAAAGCGGTATGTACTGGATAACAAATTGTTAATAGTCAATCTTGGTTACTGTCAAATATTCTATTTTTTTTTTTTTTTTTTTTTTTTTTTTATATCTACCGACAATTTTATTGTTTATGTGTTTTAACTGGCAGAGAAACTACTATACTTATCTGTAAGATTTGTCATGGTCCTGGCTGCTTCATTTAACATGCAGTGTACCGTAACATAAAGAACTTGACATGGTCCTGGCTGCTTCATTTAACATGCAGTGTACCGTAACATAAAGAACATGACATGGTCCTGGCTGCTTCATTTAACATGCAGTGTACCGTAACATAAAGAACTTGACATGGTCCTGGTTGCTTCATTTAACATGCAGTGTACCGTAACATAAAGAACTTGACATGGTCCTGGCTGCTTCATTTAACATGCAGTGTACCGTAACATAAAGAACTTGACATGGTCCTGGCTGCTTCATTTAACATGCAGTGTACCGTAACATAAAGAACTTGACATGGTCCTGGCTGCTTCATTTAACATGCAGTGTACCGTAACATAAAGAACTTGACATGGTCCTGGCTGCTTCATTTAACATGCAGTGTACCGTAACATAAAGAACTTGACATGGTCCTGGCTGCTTCATTTAACATGCAGTGTACCGTAACATAAAGAACTTGACATGGTCCTGGCTGCTTCATTTAACATGCAGTGTACCGTAACATAAAGAACTTGACATGGTCCTGGCTGCTTCATTTAACATGCAGTGTACCGTAACATAAAGAACTTGACATGGTCCTGGCTGCTTCATTTAACATGCAGTGTACCGTAACATAAAGAACTTGACATGGTCCTGGCTGCTTCATTTAACATGCAGTGTACCGTAACATAAAGAACTTGACATGGTCCTGGCTGCTTCATTTAACATGCAGTGTACCGTAACATAAAGAACTTGACATGGTCCTGGCTGCTTCATTTAACATGCAGTGTACCGTAACATAAAGAACTTGACATGGTCCTGGCTGCTTCATTTAACATGCAGTGTACCGTAACATAAAGAACTTGACATGGTCCTGGCTGCTTCATTTAACATGCAGTGTACCGTAACATAAAGAACTTGACATGGTCCTGGCTGCTTCATTTAACATGCAGTGTACCGTAACATAAAGAACTTGACATGGTCCTGGCTGCTTCATTTAACATGCAGTGTACCGTAACATAAAGAACTTGACATGGTCCTGGCTGCTTCATTTAACATGCAGTGTACCGTAACATAAAGAACTTGACATGGTCCTGGCTGCTTCATTTAACATGCAGTGTACCGTAACATAAAGAACTTGACATGGTCCTGGCTGCTTCATTTAACATGCAGTGTACCGTAACATAAAGAACTTGACATGGTCCTGGCTGCTTCATTTAACATGCAGTGTACCGTAACATAAAGAACTTGACATGGTCCTGGCTGCTTCATTTAACATGCAGTGTACCGTAACATAAAGAACTTGACATGGTCCTGGCTGCTTCATTTAACATGCAGTGTACCGTAACATAAAGAACTTGACATGGTCCTGGCTGCTTCATTTAACATGCAGTGTACCGTAACATAAAGAACTTGACATGGTCCTGGCTGCTTCATTTAACATGCAGTGTACCGTAACATAAAGAACTTGACATGGTCCTGGCTGCTTCATTTAACATGCAGTGTACCGTAACATAAAGAACTTGACATGGTCCTGGCTGCTTCATTTAACATGCAGTGTACCGTAACATAAAGAACTTGACATGGTCCTGGCTGCTTCATTTAACATGCAGTGTACCGTAACATAAAGAACTTGACATGGTCCTGGCTGCTTCATTTAACATGCAGTGTACCGTAACATAAAGAACTTGACATGGTCCTGGCTGCTTCATTTAACATGCAGTGTACCGTAACATAAAGAACTTGACATGGTCCTGGCTGCTTCATTTAACATGCAGTGTACCGTAACATAAAGAACTTGACATGGTCCTGGCTGCTTCATTTAACATGCAGTGTACCGTAACATAAAGAACTTGACATGGTCCTGGCTGCTTCATTTAACATGCAGTGTACCGTAACATAAAGAACTTGACATGGTCCTGGTTGCTTCATTTAACATGCAGTGTACCGTAACATAAAGAACTTGACATGCCTAAGTAGTTTGACATATATGTTCTGACCTTTAAATAGTTTGGTGTTTCTTCATAATTTGAGTTTGGCAAGCTGTGCCTTGATATATTAAAGTATTTGACAAATACTGTAATATTTATAGAATAGCCTACACTCTGACGCCAATACATGTACTTTGGCATGTATAGTACTCTGACATAAATAGCATGGCATGAACTAGGACAATAAAAAATTTAAAAATTGGTATGAACTCTGACATAAATAGCAGTATACATAGTTTGGCATCAACACTAATACATACGTATGAATAGTTTGGTCTGTGATCATACTTAAACAATGAATGTTTTAGCAAATGTTGTTATGGTCCTATAACACACATCGCTATTGATGACAAACTTAATTTATGTAAGTTTGTCAGCAATAGGAATGTGTGTTACAGGACCATAGCAATATTTGCTGAAATATTCATTATTTATATTTACATTTTGATAGAGTAGTTATGCTTTATTTAGTGTTGACAACAATGAAATTGATGATGTCACAATAGCGATTGATAGTGTTACAATAGCAATGGAAGGATGCAGAGCAAATATAAATATAAAATGATAGCATAACCTTTGATATGTACCCTTTCACCACTGTAGACCATAATGGACTCATCCAGATCAGTGCATGGTAGAGTCTACTAAAGTTACATAGGGGTGAAAGGGTTAATGGCTTGCTATGTATTCCAGAGATGGTCGCTGTCCGTTGTTGTCCTGCTGGTGTCCACGGGGCTGTTTATGTTTACCTACCACTCCACACAGTTCCACCTAGAGGGATTTATAATGGTCCTGTCAGCATCCGTACTGTCCGGCCTACGCTGGGGACTGGCTCAACTCATTTTACAGAAGGAAGAAATAGGTATTGAAAATATCCATCTATCTATTATTGTCTCAAATAAAACTGTATCTGACTGTGAAAAAGCCTTTTTAGCATATTAAAATTTAAATGTAAACGTATAAGTGTTACTATAAACAAAACAGTATTATAAGGCATTGCGGTGCATACATAAGCACATCTCTCAAAAAATATTTTTTAATGTCAATCTGGTAGAGTACTAGCTGCTTCCTACCCACCCGGTTAGGCAGAATTTCTCTTTAGGTCATTAGGTATAGCATCAGACTAGTTGACTAGTTCAATCCCTAGCAGTGGCATTGAAAAAACAATGACCTTATTTCATTGGCACCCATGTAGAGACCGAGAAATATGACAAAATAATCAGCCTTGCATTCACAAGAATTTATTCCGTCTTTGCGTATTGCAGAGTGATCTTCTCTTGTGAGCAGGTATTGATTGTTAAGTCATTGGTTTTTGTGAGAAAATTACGTCGTTTTCTCAAAAATTGATGACGTTACTCTCACAAACAAATAACGTAACAATCAATAGCTGCTCGCAAGAGAAGATAACTCTGCAATACGCAAAGATGGAATATGACCCCTGGTAAGCTTTGGACAACTTCTCTCCTGGAGGGGAGTGTGTCAGCCCCTTTCTGCTGACCTGGCTAGGGTGAATTTCCCTTAAGCTCATTTGGCAGAGCATAAGACTAGTAAACCAAAGGTCTTTGACTCATTTCTTAGCAGAGGCATTTAAAAAACGTGATTACCCCTACAAATGTATTTCATTATCTTAACATCAGTTGACCTGCTTGTCTGCTAATACTCTCATTTAATGTCAGGATGGTCCTAGGATTTTATTCTCTGGATCATTTCCCAGAAATTACTGTTCACAGATTTTGTCAATGGTTTAATCAAAATAAACTCATTTCTTGGTTACATTGATTTGGATATTTGCATGTTTATTTGTGGTCAGTTTATATTTCTACTTATTGGAACATCCAGATTTAATATAGATCCATAGAATTGATGTAGTGGAATGTATACTATTTTTGTATTGTAATGTATACTATTTTGTATTGTAATGTATACTATTTTGTGTGTATTTTGTTACGTGAATACTATTGATCGATGTATACACTCTAAGACAAGCTATCAAATTTATCATTATCAGTCACATTGAGAGTGTCGCACACTAAAAATGTATACAAAAAATGCCATTTCTGGGTAATAAGTGTTTGTTTGGGTAAAATTTGTTAACTCATAATATCACTCATTTAACCCTATTATCAAGATTATGGCAATGCAATACAGGAGGTCAGTGATCAGACCATAGTCACTGTCTAGGCAATGCTTTTTAAACCAGTGAACATATGTTTAAGAAACTTCATATAAATGGATGTATCATGGCTTGGCAATGATTTGTGGTGGAGAAGGCACATGTTTATTGTCAGAGGGGACTAAAGGTTTGCAATCCACGTCCTTTGTCTTGTTCCACAATATACAGAGTTATGGGTCTTTGTTTAGTTTTGAAACAAAAATTTGTCTGGAGATAGGAGACTATATGGATTGCTTATATTAGAAGGCTGTTTTCCTATTGTTTTAATCTGTAAACCTCACCTGGGTTGACTATGTGTAGGCTAACATAATCGTTATTTGCCTTCCACAAATTTTCTCTCCTTTCACTACCTGGTAAGTGTTTCTCTAAAACCTACATGTTGTGTTCACAGGTTTATCCAATCCCCTCGACATGATGTATCATATACAGCCATGGATGATCCTAGTACTCCTTCCACTCGCTGCCATATTTGAAGGTAAATATCAACAAAGTTGTCATTTTACTAGGGGTGCTTTTCTAGACTTAACCGTAGGGGAGGGGTGGGAGGCACTTTTACAGAGACCACACTAACCATAAATCTTTAAAAGTGATTTGATATAAGGAATGGTAGGCAAATCTGGTTTTAGCCCCACCACCCATTATATATTGATACAGGTGCCTCCCACAACCCCCTTGTGATATTTTATGGAATAGCCCCTATCAGTCCCCGGGAAATATAGGTTATTCCCAAAAATGTAAGAGCTGTCCAAAAGAAACGATAACATTTTCACAATATTGAAAAGCTTTCATGTTAGTCTTTTTAAAAAAAATAGCTGTGATTTTATCTTCAGGAGGGCATTTTGCCTGTGGCAACTTTTTGGCATATTAATACTGTTACATACTTATGTATTACGTATAAGTGATAGAATTCATTGCTATTATGTTGTTAATTTTGTAATTAATTGTCATCTACATCCAGAATGACTAAATGTGTTTTCTGCATTTTTACAACTGAAGATGATTCATTCCTTATTGACAGCAAACACATAATTTTTTTTTTAGATTTTGTGAGATAAATATTTCACCCTTTTTTGTGAGATAAATATTTCGCCTTTAGTTATTGAAGTACACTCGCAAAACAAATTAATCACAAAAATTAACTGATTCACAGAATAGCATAATACTAGTCTTAATAACACAAAACAGACAAATAAAAGCAAAAGCTGTACTCAAAAATAATTATAAGTTAAACTATTTCTATTAGCGTTAACAAAATTCACCCTGCTGTATTAAACAATAATTCTAATTACTGGGTAAACTGTGTTTAGTTCTGGTGGAGTGTAAAAATATCAGTCATTGTCATTTCAGGCGTTCCTCTTGCTTCAACGTCAGACTTTTTCCGTTTCCAAGACTACACGTTAGTATGTAGAAACCTAGCCATGGTGTTTGGTGGAGCATGTCTAGCTTTCATGCTGGAGTTTTCTGAGTTTTTACTTGTAGGTCAAACCTCCTGTTTAACATTCTCAATCTCAGGCATATTCAAGGTAAGTCTCCCATCACAAAAAAAATATTTATTCTTATTATCTTTCATTTTCATTCCACCATCATCTGATGGTGGGCTATTCAAATCGCCCTTTGTCCGTGGTCCGTCCGTCCTTCGTCAGTCGTCCATCCTTAAACAATTCTTGTTATTGCTATTTCTCAGAAACTGCTGAAGGGATTTTTCTCAAATTTGATATGAAGGTTCCCCTTGATCTCTAGTGTGCATATTTAATTTTAAGACTGACATGATAAACAAAATGGCCGACAGGCAGCCATCTTGGATTTTGAACGTGAAGGTTTGTTATCGCTATTTCTCAGGAAGTACTGGAGGAATGTTTCTCAAATTTGCTATGTAGGTTCCCCCATGGTCTTGGTCTGTAGTTGTGGATGTTCTCTTTTAAGACTGAATGGATAAATAAAATGGCTGACAGGCGACCATCTTTGATTTTGAGGTTTGTTACTGCTGTTTCTCAGGAAGTACTCAAAGGATCTTTCTCAGATTGGTTATGTAGGTTTCCCATGGTCCTTCATTGTGCATGTTTACATTTGAGACTGATTGGATAAACAGAATGGCTGACAAGTGACTTTTAAGGTTTGTTAGTGCTATTTCTCAGGAAAAACTTGAGGGATGTTGATACATTTGATATGTAGGTTCCCCTTGATCCTCAGTTTTGCATGTTTTATCTTGAGAGTGATCTTAAAAAACAAGATGGCTGAAGGAATAACTTAACAGATCTTTCTCATATTGCAATGATCAGTTCGGTTTCCAGTAAATATGTGAAACAACAAACTTACTTTGAAGGTTGTCTTGTATACACAGCAGTATTAAGTTTAGATCAAAAGTTACCTCAAGGTGCATTTACTGTTAACATGACTCGATCAAACAGATAAGAAAAAAGAAGAGAAAATATCAAACTGACAAAGAACTAATGAAGATGGTACAATGGTGGGCACCAAGAGCCCTCTGGTATCTCTTGTTTATTAAGTTTTACGCTCAGATATAATGTGAAGGTATGGTAGGCACTTATCTGCATTTATAGCTTATGAAGTCATCACATGTTGCTTATATAATAATCAACCTATTCAATTGTCTTACCCATAAAATGTTTTATCTAATGTGAGATATCTCAAGAATAAACAATAATCTTACAAGCTAATAATAGCAGTGACAAATGCCCTTTAGACCTTTCATTTACTTGTTTTGCATGTGTGATATTCATTATTGCTAGCAAAGCAACCCATATCCACCCAGCATACACCATATCTACCCAGCATACACCATATCTGCCCAGTACACACCATATCTGCCCAGCACACACCATATCCACCCAGCACATTACACCATATCTGTTCAATTCAAGGTTCAGCACAATAAAAAATCATGTTTCAAGTACACTCAATTTCATAACTTGTGAGTTATTGCTTATGATTTTGAGGCTGTGCTAAAATAAAATGAAAGAGTACTAATTGATAAAAAAGTTTATAACTTGATCATTTCCACATCCTACCCTATATCAGCCCTCAACCAATATCAGCCCTAAGGAATATGACCCCTCAAGCTGATATGAAGGTCTTGGGTTACAGGAAAGCATTGCAGAAATTGTCAAATGGTGTTAGACGTCTAAGTATTTTATTGATAACTTTAAGTCCTGATGAAGGATATGATTGTATATGAATTGTGGTGTAATTGAGGATACGTACCGATTTTTTTTGTACTTTTACACCTGTTTTTGATTGTATTTGACTACATTTACACATGTTTTCAACTGTTTCAGGAGTTATGCACGTTATACCTGGCCACAAAGATAAATGGTGACGAGATGAACCCCATCAATGTGATTGGCTTACTTGTGTGTCTGTCTGGTATCACACTTCACGTCCTTTTAAAGGCTTTACATAGTGAGTATACACAACATCATACTTATAGTTCATCTTTAAGACTGTGCACTGTATAACCTGCTCATAATACCACTTCCATTTAGAGGCAATCTGTGTTAAAGAGGCCACGTGCACTTTTAATATTCCCTATTGCAATAGTTTCATTGTGCATTGAACCTTTATTAAGATACAATATTCATTAAGGGAAATGGTACCACTGCATCAGTTTTAGTCGCGAAAAAAGAGTTCCAATTAAATTTTATTTTTTACCCTGGAGTACTCTCCATTTTATATAGAAAATGTAGCAGCCAAAAGGACTCTTTTCTGGCTTAGAGTTATTACTTCCCCTGTCAACATGCATATTTCAAGGTTCATTTTTTTAGGCTTTGCAGCCCATAAATTAAATATACATATTTTGATGCATTTAGCATTTACAATTCCTGGATTGCAAGGTTGGTAGATTGTAGTTCTTGCAATGTAAAAGTTATGAGTTTGACCCCTGCAGTGTTTTGCATTTTCTTTTTCATTTATGTTAAATATTCAAATTTCAAACAACACGAGTTCTGTAAAATGTAATGCCACGTGTGGTTTTTAAGGAATATTTTTGAAAAGGACTTAACCAAATATTTCACGATAGTGACGGTGCACAATGGTTATAAATAAATATAGTTGAACTTGTTGGTACCCATTACCTTAAGAGATTAATTGTTTGACTTTCCAAGGGTGGTCCCTTATACAGGTTTGACCATATAATTGTGTGACATCACACTTTGTGTCAACTTATACTGGTCACATCAATCTCTACAAGACGCAAACACTTAATATTCACTTTTCCAGAAGATGATGCTAAAAAGGCCTCTTTGAATCGGGAGGAGATGATGGAAATGATCGGCAATGAAGGACACGATTCTGATGAAGAGGAAGAAGTATTTAATGCTTCACGGGACAGGTAGCAGCGGGGAATTAGATAATGTGTATCTGATACAGTTATGTCTTCCTTTATAACTCAGATTTAATTTATATTTCACTTCATAAAGTCTGAATGTCAAAACATTTTACTTTGTGATCATGATGTATAGAATCTACCATGTGATGATTTGTATGAAGATAAGTATTTTTACGATGTTAAAATGTTGTATAAAGATAAGGATGAATTAAGTTGACTTATTTTCATTATTACAGAATATTTATAATTCTGGAGAACCTGCGTAAATAAGCCACCAAAGACCATAGAATTTCACTCTTACATAAGCTTCGACCACACTGTTGTTTTTATTCTGAAGCAGTCTGAACAGAAGGCCAAAACATGTAGACACAAGTTAACATCGCCAAACCATTCTTGTGGTGTTAGTATCCTTAATATTCTTATCATGTGACCAAATGTATAAAGATTAATATATATATCATGTGATCATGAGGTATGGTATATAGAACAGCATTTTACTGCGTGATCATATTGTATCATTAGGTTTATTATCATATAAAATTTGTCTGTGATATGTAGGGCTGCGATGATATATCATATTTTGAATACTGTACAATACACAATATTTTTGAGAGGTTAAGATACACTTAAAATATTTTTAGGATTTTCTCATTTCTGAATTTAGTCTACCCATATCGGTTCCAACCTGGCGAGTGACAGCTCCAGCTCGGCATGCACGTCGAAAGACTTGAATTGTATGAAACTTTAAAGTCATGCCCATTTTGGACCAAGTTTTTTCAGTTAAAATATTGCCATAAAAAAAATGCAACATATCTTTTCTTTTTGCTTCTTCTGTTACTATATGTATTGTTGCAGCCCTACAGTGATACGGGTTGTCTTGCATGAGACACAGCTAGCTGTACAGGGGTATATTCCAGACCAACCCATATATCTGCCACACATGCAGTATCTGCTCGGCACGCACCATATCTTTTACTTTCAGTTCAACACATTTCAGGAAAAAACACATTATGCACATTGAGTTGGTGTCATTGCTGGTAATTTTAATGTTGTACTGAAACATTTACAGGATGTAGTGCATTGTATATGACAAAAAGGTTTTCATACAATTATTTCCATGTCCTAAGGCTACCCAGTATCAACCCTCAACCCATATCAGCCTTCGAGCTTCTGAACCCTCAGGCTTGTATGGAGGGGTAGATAAGGGTAGGTTATGGAAATGGTTATATAACCTCTAATTGTATTCATCATATGATCAAATGTATATTAATTATCAGTATATTGACCATGTCATCACTTTGTAGGAATATTTACGATATGCTCATGTTGTATAAATCTGGTATATTTAGAATATGACTATGTTGTGAAAAGACTGGCATATTTGTCATATGATCGGCCCATCCTATGTATAAAGAAATTCTGGTATGATATGTGCATTACTGTTAATAAGCAATGTGATCATGAGGCTGGGTATTTAATGCCAAAATCTTTGTTTGCTGTATTTTATGGAGATTCTAATAGAGTTAATTACGTATATTTTATGACTCATTACATCATTTAAAGTACTTTTCTCTTTAATTGGTGCTCTGTTATTAAGTGTAAATTATTTTGATTAACCTCTTGTTATGATGTTTTAATATTTCTACAGTTGTACAGCATTATAGTGAGTACATGTACCATGCTTGTCAGCTAGACCATGGTATCTCAAGGTTATGGACGTAGTATAGGTATGTGGTACTGTAATCAGCCAAATTAGAGTATAATGTTAAAATATATTTCACAAGATCTTGATCATTAAAAATATAAAAAGCCTGTTCATATTTGCAGGTCACTAGTAAGTTTTCATTAATCTTGTGATACTTGAAATGGAGTAAAATATGGTTATGAGTGTATAACAGCAGTTAATGCTAATGTTTGTTCAGGAATTTTAGATGTGTGGTATGCACTGGTCATATATGTGGGTCATCCTTGAATTTCCTGGGTTAATAGGGCTACGCTCACTTACGTTGTCTCCACCCTATAATGTCATGAAATTATCTACTGTATACCGGGAAATTTTCGCCGCAAGTTAAATTTCGCCATTTTCACCCTCTGCAATGAGGGCATTAATGTATCATTACTGCAAACAGTACTAAGCAATGTTATAAACATAGTAATCAAATGTGAAGGCCAGGCAAAATGTATATTGGGCGAAATAGTAGTTCATTGGTGTAGGGCGAAAAATTGTCTGGGTGAAAGTTTTCTGGTATACAGTATTTAAATGGTTTGAGGTATAAGAAACTGACCAGTCACTAGGCTGATACCTGTCCTTTAAAGATAACAGAGGAGCAGCACCCGCCTTCAAAATCGGTTAATTTTACCATGATGCTCCCGTATGATTCTTTTGATTTACATCAAATGATCAATTATAAACTAATTTAACTTGTGTCATCCGCAAGGTGCCACATAAAGAGCCTTCAATTTTGTCACTACATCTTCCAGGGTTGCAGAGGACATAATCGAGTGTAGCCCCAGGAATTCGAGGATGAGATGTGGGCGTGTAACAGGTCTGCAGCAGTGCTGCTATGTGGTTGTGAAACAGAGATTTAATGGCACAGTATGGTCGTGATTGTGGGTGTGTAACGTAGCCGAGATTTAGTGGGGCTGTATGATTGTTAAGTTGTTGACAATATTTTACCACAATATCAGACACCAAAGACAATGAAATGCATTGCATATTGAATATTTGTTGGCTGACCCTCGGGGCAGGGGAGTTGAAGCAGGACACTTTTATTGCCACTAAAGGCCAGCACATTATCTTACGTGCCCCGACAGCACAGTGGGTAACATATCTAGTCACTTAACAAGTGTTTTTCTTTAATTAAGTGTCTCTAAACTTTGATAATACCAGGTTATGTGGGTTTATTTTGTTTTTATTTAATGACCATTTATGTTTAAGTTAACAGTTACAATGTATATATGTAAACATTGTGTTGTCTCCACCCTAATATATCATGACAATATTAAAGGCGTGAAATGATGAACTGTATACAGAGAAATTGAAGCGTCCATGTAAACCAGTATATACCTTGTATGTAGTGAATATGATGGATGTTGTTTGTCGAGTAAAAAGATATTCAGAGAAATGGCAGGGACGTTATTGTTAACTCACAGGCAGGTCTGAAAAGCTGGGCCTGTCACTATAATATGTATTCATCATTCTGCAGCATGTTTGGTTACTTTTTTTCTCGAATAACACAGGATTGTGGTCTGGCTGGTGACCCTAATTGCTAAACAGACAAATGTTTCAGGGAAGATGATTTGAATTTTAAATAAGTAGTTTAACAAATGTTGTTTCAGCATTTGAACACATCACCTCAATGTTATATAGTACATGTACCAACATTTGAAACCAATTTCAACCGTTGTGTATTGTACCGACATTGAAAACAGATTTCACCCATTGTTTTACCAATCCTAGGTAATGTTTACATATTTCAAATGCTTTCTTTAAACTATGCATACAGTGTATTCTAAACCCCCACCCAGACCACAACCCTTGTACGTGTGATCTAGCCCCTAATTTATCATAAAATTCATTTCAAACTCAAGTTTTCTGTGTACGCATTGTTTATTGTCTGTTGACAATCATTTGCTTCGTTACTTGACCTTTATAAATATAGTAAATAAAATATTTCTTATCTGTTGATGATTATGTTATATTAACTTGTGTAATGAATATTTTTCATTCATGAGTTTACACTCATGTAAATTATTTAAATATTTGTTTCTCACTTGGTGTATTATATTGATATTCTTAAGAGATAATGAATACATTCCATTTATATGGAACACTTTCATAGAGCATACTAACTTTGAAATGAAATTGAAGTTCTAGTTTTCTTTTAAATTGACAGAAAACCAGGATGACATTTCCTTGTTTGAAGAAATATGAAATGATTTCAACTTGCAAATCATTTTGTATACGGTAGTAAAAATTGTTTTTCTGAAACCTTCAGTCTAAAATGATTTTGTTTTAAATGCTTTGAAAAATTGGGGCTGTTCGACTATTAACGGGACCAAAGAGATTGATATGCCTTTTGAATTCATGTTGAGTACACATTGACCTTTATATAATTTGGAGACAATTTATACAGAATGAAGGGACATTTGAAAACTGTTACCCTACCGATTGAGATTATCTCTATCACAAAGGGCAAGAAAAACTGTATAAAGACTTCAGATTGAACATCATTTACATTGTTTACCCGGTAACTCATTCGCCCCTGAAGACACATTTAAACTCTTCCGAATAAAAGGTTGGAATAGTTCATTATGCAATTTCAGGGGTGGATGAGTTAACTATGTTAAAATTTAATGTATCTCTCCAACAATCTGTCTGTATAACAGGAAAAAATCCATAAATTCTGTAGGATCAGAAAAAAATCCTTCTATTAGGTTATACATGTATTGTCATGATGGTTGTGGTTTGCTTAATTCTATTTTGATGCCAGTTAAGTTGACTGCGGCTCTGGTTAGCTAAGATTCAAAGCTTAATTTAATCATCGATACGTTTCTATTACAGTTATCACATTCCCTCCATCTCCATATATTTTGAATATTTCTCAGTTTTCCATTTGCGGGCGATGTCCCGAGTCTGTAATAAATATGCTGTAGTCATTTCTAGTTACAGTGTATATTAATTTCATAACATGAAGTATATAAGTTGCAGCCTTGCATTATAATCAGCATTATGGGTACAGGGACCCTACAAGAAATTTTCAAAAGAGATGAATTGTTTTTCAATTTTTAATATTTTCTAATGTGCAATAAAATATTGATAATATTATAAAATCTGTATGAAAGAGTTTTTTTTCTTAAATCAACGTTTAGTTTGTCTTTCTTTATTATTTTTCCATGCAGTAATATATGTTAGTTTCAACTGATTTAAAATTAGAAAGACACAATTGATGATTTTCTTAATATAATAATTTGAATGATAGTAATTTCCTAGTATCAATTAATCATTGAGTGTGTGAAAGGACCTTCCGAACCATCAATTACTGGTATACAGTAATATATATCAGTAGAATGAACCTGTCTGCCTGGTAACGAAGTATAAGAATTGTATGGAATATTACTCCGCCGCTCATGAAAAGACACTTGTGAACAGTTCTTTAATCGTGATCAACAATGAAATCTCCAAAGTTTGGAACTGGTTCATGATAATTGCAAAATTTCCTCTATGTAGATCGAAACTTCTCTCGTATGAAACCTTGGCTACTCAATTTATGGATTAACAGGATGAAATTACCAGAAAAAAAATACAGATACCTACACAGGCTGGACCAATTACTCCACATAATGCCAAAAGCATCTTATTGGATACTACACTGATTGCTGAGTAAAGGAATGTTAATGATTGTGAGATTATCATCCCAGAGCTCAAAAGTTAGGTGGTCAGTATTGTCACATAGTTTGTAAATATTAGGATATGACGCTGAAGAAGTGAAGTCAGTGGTATGCATTTGTTTATGTAGTTGGGCATTACGATAACCATAGTTATAAAGGTCATCATTTTATAACGGGATAATAGGTGTGAATGGTATTACAGGTACCAGTAGAATGAGTAGGGCTGTCACAATATATTGGAAAACAGGTATATCACAATACACAGGCATATCGTAATGTACCACAATACGTATATATACAGAGATGAAATATTGCTGTATTGCAATATTTTTCAAAATGGTACAGCAATATTTCTCAAAAGCATGTATCTGCTTGGTGTTTTAAATTTGCAAATTACTACAAATACAAAAACAGATATGCCAATAAGCATAAAGCAGGCTTTTAATAGTTAAGTGTTTAAATCGATGGTTGGTTTGACAAAAATCTTAAATCAATTAAATCCATATTATATATGATAAAGTTTGATAAAATTCTGACAACAACTTATAAAATTAAGCACATCCTTCCTATGACAATATATCGGGATACGTATCGCAATACATTCATTCTGTATTGCAATATATCGTGAACCACTCTTGGCGTTTTGTGACGCCCCTATTAACAGGTGTGTAGTTGAAAACTGCATAACACAGGTAATTATTTTCTAGAGTAAATTTGAAATGTCCTATGAAGTGTCTCTATAATGTCAATTTTTTTTTTACTGTCTGAGAATTTTAAACCCATTTTTGTGCAAACACCCAGGTAATAGTCACCTGGAATGTCTTCAAAAATATCACCAACAAGAGAAAATGCAGTTTTATGGTTTTATTCAGTTGAATACCTAAATTGCTAGTCAAAGGTATCAAATAAAAAACCTGACATGTGATTCCTTATTATCAAGGGACATGGCCTACTCTACACAGCGTATTTCACCTAATAAGTACAAAATGTAGATTCATTCTTTGAAAAATGGCTAAATTGAGAAGAACTATCATAGCATAACTTTAAAATACATATGAATGAATGAATGAATAAAAATGGGTACCTTTATTTTATAAATAATTTAGTTTTCTATTTTTTTTATTAATGAAAAATTGACATGATTTGTAAATGTTGAGTAAAAATACAGCTAATTAGTAGAGCATCATATTTACAATCAAATGGAGACAAAATACCCCTGTTACAATGGTAAAAATTAAAAATGTCCTCATAATAGATTTTGAGAAAGATGGAAAGTCATTCTAAGGCAAAAAATAGGATGCTGACACGTTGGGCAATAAATAATGTTCATAAAATATATACATATGGACGGAAGTCAATTTATTCTGTTTCATACTAATCAATTTAGATGCTAGACTTTGACGAAGTTTAAGGACTGGTAAAATAACTATTTACAGATCGGTACTCCAACCAATAATTAAGAACTATGTACAGATCACGCTTCACATCCATATAACAATAATACACTCAAACACTTATCACAGATAATTTGGAAATGCAAGCGAGGGCTGTTAAGTTAAAACATCAACCTGACCCTAGAACTCCAAAATAAGTCCCTGTTATTCATGGTTGGGTTTCCTGTCTGTTCTATGTAAATTATTAGTTAAATTCTTTGGGTGGTATCCCTCAACAAACCGAGGACTCCTGAGATCAGATAGCTGTATTACCGGTACTGAAATAAAGTTCCTTATATATAATTGTACAATCACATTAAGTTACAGGAGGTAAAGTAAGGGCAGACAACTGTGTGACGACGTCATACACTTTAGATTATATACTAACAACCAGACTGAACTAACTGTTTCATTTTGCACAACGTTCTTGTAGACAACATAGTTAAGATGTTCTTTTACTGATATCTACTTCATAGATACCAGTAATGTAATAATTAAGAATCTTATCAAAGATTATTAATTTAAAAAGAGCAGCAATGAAATGCTTTGGAGTCATGATAGCACTCTTTGGTATTCCAAAATGTATTAAGTTTGTGTCTGATTTCCAGCTGACAAATGTCTAGTATGTGTTTCTATTCCTTGCTGGTCAACTTTCAGTATGTGTTTTTATTTCCTGCTGTTTTAAGTCTAGTACGAAGATATCTAATATGTGCCGTCCACTTGCATTTCGTTCTCAACAGCTTGAAGGGCTGCCAAGCAATCCACCGACAGATTCAGACTGCCGATCACATTCTTCTCATTCTTGACATCTAACACTGGAGCAGAAAAGGATATCTTATGGTTACTAATATATTTACATAAATACAAATAGAAGTCACTAGGTTTAATGTTTAACATTGAGGAAAAGTTAACTCTTTAAATAATCAAAGCTTAATATGAAAATGTTCAAGTAAAGCAGGGATAAAAGTGTGTAAATGATTCAATGAAATAAAGATTATTGTGAGTTTATTTCCAGAAAAACAAATTTTACACATGTAATGGCAGATATTTGACCTTTTGAATAAAGACTCGAACAGTTAAAGGTTTTACTTGGTATATTAGCCGTTCCCAGTTTATAAACTCCCCAATATGGGTCCCCCAAACATAACCAGATCCCCCTTGAGGAGGCCTCACCTTCCACATCTTGCTCTATGATGTTCTCCCTCTTCATGAGGATGGTTTTTATGCTGACCCAGGCCACGCCCACATCCTCGCAGTCTCCCTCCATGTCTTCATCAGGGGGCTCACTCACAATGGTAAACCGAATCCTGCGCACAGCAAAATATGTAATGAAATTTATACAACAAGAAATTGACAGAGTTTTATGCTTTTATTTTATGTCTGAAATAAGAATTCTAGTTGAGCACCAAATTGTATAACAGAGATACCTGGTACATGTAAACGTTTGCTAAAATTTCTCCACAGTGGGAGATTACATCAAACTGTACAAGTCTACTTGTTGAGTGGAACACTTTAATGTACATCCTATATCGGTATAAAACTGAGAAGTTTAAACAGGTAATGTTTTATGGTACTTCTATATCAATGCAAACATCCCTTAAACAATGTAGGTGTACTATCAAGGAAAACATTTCCAGATTTACTTTATTTGATAGTTTCATCCCAAAAATGAACACAGCTCTTGGCCCTTGTGTTAGCAATTAATGTGCTTGAACTTTACCAGTTTTGCTAGAAAAAAAAAAGAAAAAAAACATACATTCTGGAAAGTAAGAAAAAATGTGACCATGACATGACATTGATCTTTGGACCTGATTGAGATCATTATAAAAAGTTAAGCCTTACCAGGTGCACAAGATAAATAAGTACTTACCGGCCCTGCTCAGGATCATCTGGTAGTAACATGCTGGCCAGAAACTGTCTTCTTGTGTAGTTCTTCTCTATATCCACTTGGAAAGCTAAAATTGAAAGATGATGTTATAATCTTTGTTTTCTGAATTGATTTCCTAACAGACTTGGATGTTGCACTAAGAAACTGAATGATATAATTAAAATTGCATGACATCAATCAACACTCTTTATGTTGAGCAAATTCAGTTTCAAGCATTTTGTTCACTGTCTGCAATAGTAACAGTGCTTAAAATCATACTCTTGCCAGTGAAATTGAAAGATATGATGAGTTGAATTTGAAAAAGGGGAAATACTCACTCTTGCTAAAGTTGAAAGCAATCTGTTGTCCAGGCTTTGGTTTGGGGAGGGAGAAGGGTGTTTCCAGCTCCTGTGGTTCGATGCCTAGGAAATTGTAGGCCACGAAGAGCTGGCGAATGTTGTCCCTGTGTAGAACATTAGCACCTTCCTCCAGTGATAAGTGTGAGATTGTGATAGTCACAAAGTTACCCTGTAGGCCAAAACGGAAAATATTTATAAGGTAGCAGGAAGCTCAAAGTTATTGCTAATACCAGAAAGGCTTATTTGCAAGTGAAATGCAGTATGGATAATTATTATAATGACTCCTCTCTAAAACAACCTAGCAGCTATATGTAGCTTTTAATGGTAAGAACATGCATTGATTCTAGATCTGCCACATCCTAACAATTATATAACACTTCACTGTCAGTTCAGATTTTGAAGAACTCAACTGGATATTTCCATCGAATCTACCTTCTTTGCAGTAACCTTTTATTGGCTGTTTTTGATTGGTAGTGCTTGGTAGACCAACTCTCTTTGCTGCAGCCTTGTCCTGACTGTGCTCAGATAGAGAACCTACATTCTTTGCCATGGATTTATCCTGGCTACGTTTGGTTGACCCTATATTTTTTTGTTGCTTCCTTTTTCTGACTACCCTTTGTTGACCTACCTTCTTTGTAGCAGCCTTTATCTGGCTGGCCATGATTGGATGAACTATTTTAAATGCAACAGTTTTTTAGCTCACCTGCCCGAAGTCCTGAACGGCTAAGTAGATTTTCGCTAAATTTGGTCTGGAGCATCCTTAGGCCAAGGGGACTCAATTTTTTGTATAAATGGTGGGTGTGGCCCCCCTGGGGGCAGAGGGGTGGGGCCCTATAGGGGAAATAGAGGTAAAACCTTAAAAATCCTTCTTCTATCATAGGGATGAAGAGATTTTATCCGAATTCAGTCTGGAGCATCCTTAGGCCAAGGGGACTCAATTTTGTATAAATGGTGGGTCTGGTTTGGGGGCCGAGGGGCAAGGCCCAATAGGGGAAATATAGCAAATTCTTTAAAATCCTTCTTCTTCTGTAGGAATTAAAGGATTTGTTCAATATTTGGTCTGAATCATCATTGGGTGAAGGGGAACTAATTTTGTATAAGCCGTGGGTCTGGCCCAACAGGGGCCTGAGGGGCGGGGCCCAATAGGAGAAACATAGCAAATTATTCTTTAAAATCCTTCTTCTTTTGTAGGAATTAAAGGATTTGTTCAATATTTAGTCTGAATCATCATTGGGTGAAGGTGAACTAATTTTGTATAAATGGTGGGTCTGGTTGGGGGGCCGAGGGGCAAGGCCCAATAGGGGAAACATAGCAAATTATTCTTTAAAATCCTTCTTATTCTGTAGGAATGAAAGGATTTGGTCCATATTTGGTGTGGAGCATCCGTGGGTAAAGGGGAACAAGTTTTGTATAAACGGTGGGTGTGGCACCCCCTGGGACCTGAGGGGTGGGGCCCAATAGGGGAAATAGAGGTAAAACCTTTAACCTTTAAAATTTCTTCCCTATTTGGTCTGGAGGATCTTGGGCAAAAGGGACCAAATTTTGTATAAACAGTGAGTGTGGCCCCCCTGGGGGCAGAAGGGCGGGGCCCAATAGGGGAAACATAGCAAATTTTTCAAATACCTTCTTCTTCTGTACGAATGACAGGACTTTGTCCAAATTTGGTATGAAGCATCCTTGGGTAGAAGGGGAACTAATTTTGTATAAATGGTGTGTCTAACCCCTCTGGAGGCAGAGAGGCGGGGCCCAATAGGGGAAATAGAGGTAAAACCTTGAAAATCCTTCTTCTACCATAGGGATTAAGGGATTTTATCCTAATTTAGTCTGGAGCATCCGTTGGCCAAGGGGACTCAATTTTGTATAAGCAGTGGATGTGGTCTCCCAGGGGTCAAAAGGGCGGGGTCAAATAGGAGAAATAGAGGTAAAACCTTTAAAATCCTTCTTCGACCATCGGGATTAAGGGATTTTATCCTTATTTAGGGGTGGGGCTCTGTTTGAAGTTTGTTCTCGCTATATCTCAAGGACTGGATGGATTTTTCTGAAATTTCATATGTACTTACAGCACCTACCATGGACTTCATACCAATTATTTCAAACATATTCAGGTTAGCAATACAGGGCCTCTTGTTCCTGACTGGGCTACTTAATTTGACCTACCTTCTTTGCTGCAGCCTTTTTTTGGCTGCGCTTGGTCGGTTTGGGTGCCATGATTACGCCTTCGCTGTCTGACTCCATGACATGAGGAGTATCTGACTCGTGACTGCTTTCCTCTGTGATGGGCGTGGGTTCTGTAGTGAACTGGAGGGTACCCGAGGGACTGCCCTCCGTTATATCCTCAGAAATCTCCTCTGTAACACATAATTAATAGTATTTAATAACATCAGGTCTTCTACGTCTTTGTGAGTGTTATACCACATACAAAACCTTGAATTTCACTAATTAACATCAAACTGATAGCAATTCATTATAATTAGGAATCACAAACCGTATATTCTTGAACAGATTGTTGACTAAGAATAGCTTTTATAGTGGAATGTTTACATGCTATAGTGTTGACCTATATGTATTCTGAAAATAAGATAGACGGTTCAATGTTGATGAATGGCTGGCTACTTTTGCTGGCAACTGTTATAAATACCGATACACATGTGAAGTAGGAGAATATTACATTACTATTCATAGATCATTTCAAACCAATAAAGTGACATCACTATCAATTTATTTTCAAGCACGCCCACAGTGTCCAGTCGATATCTCCAGTAGTTTTCAACAGATTAACTTCAATTAATTACTATGAAGCTGGAAAGAGTTCGATTACCACTGTTAACCTACAGTAATTTACGGAGTTATGCCCCTTTATTAAATATTTTTTTGGGATTTTTTTTTTATTATTATATTTCATTGACAAATGCATTCCATCCCTTACAAACTTATCAATATGCCTACCAGTATGCTCCTCTTCAAACATGGTGTCCGACATCTTGGATTCTTCCTGTAAAGAAAAATAATGCATTCATTTCAGTGTTAATGCATTTCAATGTCTTCAGATTGAATGTTTAAGAAGTAAAAGATTAAAATCAAACATTCATAGAAAGTATTAGCCTTTCAGTTTAAAATGGAATTCATTTTGTCTCAAATGTTAAATTTTGGTATCAGTTTCACATGTTAATTAGTAGTGAGAAATGAAACTTAAGTTGAATAATCTCAAAGATTAAACTGCAGCAATTAAAATTCAAAAAATCTCAAATGTTACAGAGCACTACCGGTAATTAAAAGTAAACTTCGTCAAATGTTAAACTTGAAAATTACAATAATAAGTAGTCTAAAACCTTAGATAGGAGCAATCAAATTTAAATAGATTAAAATACTGAATAGGAGCAACTACAACTGATTATAGTCTGAAATATTACAATAGACCAATGACGGTAGTGTGTAGAAGCAATGCCTCCAATGACTGACATAAGAGGCGTGTCACTGTTTACATATGTTCCATTTACCTTTGGACTTAAAATCTCTTCTTTTGTATCTGAAAAGAAATAAAAAAAAAATTGGTTTTAATATCTTATCTAGGGAATTAGATTACTTGGCCTTGATATTATAAATAGTCTTAGTCCAAACTTTGTCTTTATAACAGATACTTCTCTTGGAAATCAGCCAAACTGTTGTAAAACAATGCATGAATATTGTAAAGTAACCTTTTTAGATATACAAAAATGTAGTACACATGAACTATAAAATGATTCAACAATCATAACTTGGAATTGGTTTCTTGATCCCAGGGCAAGGAAAGAGGTAATTTAGACAATGAAACAGACACCGAGTGTAACAAGGCTTGTGTACTGTACCAAGAGTAGACAGTCGACAAGCATATTAAGTATGAAGTTGATGATTATACACTGCATAGACAGATATAACAGTAACTTCTTCAACAACAAGAAATATGTTACAGGATGTGAAAGCGAGTTAAATGTCCATGAACTATCATGTGAAATACATAATAATAAAATTAAATCTACTAGTCTTAACAGACTACAATGAAATACTTAATATATTTGATTACATACTAGCACTTTTATTTCCAGTGAAAGGTCTGCTATCATTCTATAATATTACACGGATATAATAAGCACCTCTATCAGATTTACATTTAGCATTGCATCAACGGAATTCCTAATTAACAAATCTGAATGTCCTGATAATTGGCAACAGCACAATATACTGACCATTGAAAATGTTAAATGTGTATAACAAAGCATGCGTTATTGCTGGTTTTATCTATTATCATTGCTCGCTTGAATTGGACATCATAATGTTTGTTAATTTGACGCCAGTGTTTTAGTAGTAAGCAAATATGAGGACAAGAGGAAAGGTATTAAAACAAAAAAATCCTTGTTTGTTATTGATATTTAGGGTATCAAACTTTTACAGTACATGTAATATAAGTGTGAAACCATTGGTACTGTCACCATTTATGAATACATAATGTAGATAGTGTCACCGATCGCTACACAGTGCTAGGGGATCCCATGTGATATTGGGTAATGAAAAATTTGTCTTGACCAAACAGATTACAAGATTAAGGTATACCACAGATGCTTGGTAGACAGGGTTACCTGGTACATACATGCCATAAACACACTGAAAGCTACATGAGATCTATTCACCACCACCTGTACCCACATACATAAAAGGTGCAGCCTGCAGTATATACTCCAACCAAGTTAACGACATACACAATACATAAAAGGTGCGGCCTGCAGTAGATACTCCCACCAAGTTAACGACATACACAATACATAAAAGGCGCAGCCTGCAGTATATACTCCCACCAAGTTAACGACATACAAAATACATAAAAGGTGCAGCCTGCAGTATATACTCCAACCAAGTTAACGACATACACAATACATAAAAAGTGCAGCCTGCAGTATATACTCCCACCAAGTTAACGACATACACAATACACAAAACAAAGCACCGACATGAGTCCAAAACATTTTATGGTTGCACAACATAAACATTGAAGCTAAATTGTAACTGTATAACAAATACCAAAATATCCTTACTACTTGTCATACAGCATGCAAGGTAATATTTACATACAAGGAAAACAGCATCCCTTGATGTGACTGGTTACCATAACAACAGCTATAACAACCATCATACCTAGGTGTGGCTGGTTACCATAGCAACCATCATACAAAGGGTGGGCCTTGTTACCATGACAATATATATATACAGTTATTGACATACAAGGGTGGTATTATTGACCATGCTAAGGTTTAACATAGTGGCCATACTATTACCCGTCAAAATTGTTTTCCTAGCCTTAGGGATCGGCTTTTTACCCTTCTGCAACCCTAGAACATGAAGGTCACATAAACATGTAATCCATTCTCCTGTACTTGTACCCATACAGTAACAGAAACATATTACACCTCTCCATTTGCCTGAACATTAACAGGTTCAGGAACATACCCCCTTTAGGCCCTGAAATGCAAGTTTTTAAGGTAAAGGCTACAACTGCATCAGTTATAATCCAAAAGAAGTGTTCCACTGAGTTTTTTTTACTTTGTGCATTCTCACTCCTACACAGAAGATGAAGCAATCCAAGTTGTTTGTGGCTGAGAGTATCTGTCCATGTTTGTTGAGATTTTATAGGCTTTACTCTCCATAAAGTCGACTTTCATTTTGATGCTGTGCATTTATAATTCCTGGATGGTAACATGGTATAATGTAGACTTTACTATCTATTTCTGAGTATGACCCCTTCAGTTTTTCCATTTTCTTTTTTATCTATCCCAAATTTTCAAAAGTTCAAATTTTGATTATTCTGTTAAATACTATACACTGCAACATGTGATTTTTATGGAATCTTTAAAAAAGACTTTAAACAAAAATTTCATCATATTGACAACGGTTATAATTAAATATAGCTTAACCTGCTGGTACCCTTTACCTTCACACACAGAAAGTACATTGTACAGAGTAAATAAATATAAGTCTGATAGATGATGATCATGGCAGAGCTATCATAATGAGTGTTATGATCAGAGCAGTCTCATGATCAAATGCAGTGTCAGGATATCACCATCAGGATGAGTGTTAAACCTAAAAGAAAAGAATTGTTAAAAGTGACACACAACACACAGTGGTAGGCTACTCACAAATCTTGAGTGGAGAAGTTTAATTAAGTCGCACAACAAACAGTGGTATGTAATAGAAGTCAGTGGTAGTGTACAAGGCAATCTTGATTGTGAGTACACTGTACCAGATCACACAACATGCAGTAGTATATAGAATAGGGAAAGTCACTCAGCACCCAGTGGAAGGATACAAGGAACCCTATAGTGGTGTAGTATTGTAAGTCACACAACATGCAGTAGTATATAGCATAGGGAAAGTCACTCAGCACCCAGTGGAAGGATAAAAGGAACCCTAGAGTGGTGTAGTATTGTAAGTCACACAACATACAGTAGCAGGTTGCAAATTGACATGAAGTGTGTCAATATTAACCAAGTACATTGTATCTTCTATTTGACTATCACAAACCCAGGGTCTACTGTTGGACTTTTACAAACCCAGTGGCTACTGTTGGACTATTACAAACACAGGGCCAACTGTTGGACTATTACAAATCCAGGGCCTACTGTTCGACTGCTATAAACCAAGGGCTTGATTCTGAACTATAACAAACCCTATTACTTTCTATTGGACTATAATAGGCTATGGCCTCTTATACAAAATCAAGAAGAAAATAGAGGAAAGTGTTTTCCATTGCATTAAGAAAACACAGTGAAGAACTTAAAAGATAAAATTAAGTATGCACACACAAAGAAAGATCTTTTCAATGTTAATGAATAATGATTTACAAAGCCAGGTGAATTTAAATGAAAAAAAACTACATCTACAACACACCAATCAAAATAAGATGGAGAGTTTATATTGAAGTCAAAGGTCAAGCTGGAGGTTGAGGATGAAATATGTTACCTTTGACCTCTCCATTAACATCAGCCATTAGGCTTTGAGGAGGTTTAACACCACTGGCTGTGTCACTCTCCTCATCTGATTCAATCATCTCCTCCTCAATAATCTCTTCCTCTACAACTTCATCCTCCTCCTCCTCATCCTCATGGGGCGCCTCCACTATCATTTCTCTAGAAGGGGCTACAAGCACATGCTCTAGTCAGTACTAGCTCAGTCAAATATCTTAGTCGTGGGTTAGAATTCAAGGAACTGCATGCTTCCAGAAGCCAGTATTCAATCAGCAATCTGCATACTTCTAGTCAATGCTAGCTCAACAAAATATCTATAGGTCTAGGTTCAGAGGTTGAGAAACTACATACTAACCTCTTAATGTCGGTTCAAAGGTCAGGGGCCTACATCCTTTTAGTCAATACTAGCTCAACCAAATACCTATCAGTCAAGGGTCAGAAGTCAAGGAACTGCATACTTCCCCTGCTAGTATTAATGAACCAACTACCTCTTCATCTGGGACCAGAGGTCAGGGACCTACATGCTTCTTGTCAATACTAAGTCAGCCAAATGCCATTTAGTCTAGGGTCAGAGGTCACAGAAAACCGGATACTTCCAGCCAGGACTCCTCTAACTGGATTCAGATTGCCAATTTTCTCTTAGACTTGGTTCAGAGATCAAGAGCCTACATGCTTCTAGTAGCTCAACCAAATACCTCATAGATAAGTTTGAGGTCAAAGTCAAGGGGGGTCAAAGGTCAGGGAAACTCATGCTTATATTCAGTACTATATCAGCTGTTTGCTTATCAGTCCGGGGTCCGAGGCCTGGGACCAACCTGCCTCCAAGTAAATTCTAAATCAGTCATTCTCACTGATCATGAGGAGTATGGAGTCTGGGGTAGCTAACATGGGAACACATGTCTAGCACACACCTAGTTGGATGACTGAACAAACATGCGTGGTATGATACATGACTAATATACAGTCTAGCAAAATAACAGCACTTCTATAAGTTCTATATTCTAGCCAAAATAACAGAAATAGTCCTCATAGTATTACAATCAGCATTTGTATCATCAACTTGTACTGGGCAATATCATGGGAAACTCCACTGTATGCTCCGATAGAATCCAGCAGTCTGTAGACCAGAGATTACGTAATAACGCTGATAGAATTTTACATGAAAAATGAATTGTCTAATAATGATTGTTAGCAGCAAATTACATTTGATCAACATGCTTCAATACTCACTCTGGTTATCTGGCATATGAATGCTTGGTTGAGCTGGAAAATATAAGCAATAAAACAATCAGTAATATGTCACAAAACTGTTAGTAGTGTAGTAACAATGTTGTACGATCACTGTAACAGTAGGAGCAATAAACCTTTGGAGTAACTATATATGTATGTCCCTGCCTTTATTTAAAAACATTTTTCATGGAAATCCAACCACAAATATTATGAACGTACCACGCCCAGAGCAATCACAAGTTTTATCCATGTACAGTACTAGTGACCTTGACCTTTGGTGTAAAATGTTAAAACATCAACTCATTCATACTACTGTTGTACTTCATCTCTTTATGAAGTGTTATAGAAACACTACGACAAATGAAGATGCAAGAGAGATGACGTCATTGCACAAAGTTTCTATTTATAGTAATGGTGATCTCGGCCTCTGGCGAAGAATATTGAAAAGCAACTCAGTCCAAGCTACCTTGGCACTCAAACCTTGTTTAAAGTTTCTAGGAAATTCGATCACAAATGAAGACACGAGGGATGACATTACATCACCTATTTTCCTATATTAAGGTGCTATAGAGAGGAAGGTACTACATAAGGACTCCTCTATGTCTCGGATTCCACAGCTTGCCAAAACAAAAGTAACTGTTATGAGTTATGTAAATATTCTATGGAAATAGGGTTACAAAACTGAAGAATAGTAAAATGTGATAATGCAGGACTTACCTGGCAGGGTTTCTGTCATTGAATCTGACATACTTGATGGCATAATATCAGAAATCACCCCTTTCACAGCATCATTGACAAGTGATGGCTCCTGACTGGGTTCTGCATGGAGCCGACGCTTTGGAATTTTCTATGTAAAACACCACAAAAACAACAGAATAAGATGTAACTAAAATTGGCCAAAGAGGATAAGATAGCCCTGCTGTATAGCCTATTTGTCAACAGATGATCGGAGTTATCAGCTGGTCATTGATTAGTCACTGTTTATGTTCAAAAACATTAGATAAAAATATTACAGGAACAAATCAAAGTTAGAGTTATATAGTTGAGATTGTGGAGTCTACCACAACAATCGTCGCTTTTCATGTTGTAGATTGTCAAAATTCATGTAAAAGAGTGTTTGGTGAGCATCACCGAAGATGACATGGAGGTGTTTCTTTTAAAGACAGAAGTAACATGTTATATGTCGTTATGAAGATTTTGTGTGTTGCATATGATAAGTATAGTATTTAAATTATGTGCATGCATGTATGTTGTAGTTACTATGAAATAAAAGCTTTAAGTGAAAAATCTTCAGCCATTTTTGTTACATGTTTGTAGATGGCATTCGTGTAGGAACAGCTTTAAGATTCTGATTTAATACTAATGTTTGGGAATTCCTCAAGGTTGTTGCTGAATTGCCCACCATTTTCTCCAAACCCTTTTAAATTTAGTTTCCATTTCAAAATCCCCAAGAAATAACTGGGAACCTTCTGACTTATATATCAAGCTGGAAATAAGTTATCACACTGTTATGCATATAGAATTTAGTCAATGATTTTGTAACCCTCACAAAAAACCTGCAGACCAAAACTAGCCAAAATATAATAAAAGTCCCGTAATCTTAGATTCAAGGGACTATATACTTACTATAGTTGGGGGAATTTCTCATAATACACAATTTGACAAAATGATGTGAGAAAACTACCTGCTATACAAGTATATAAAGTTCAAAACTTCAAAACCTCAAACTAATTGCTGACCACTTGTTACCTTACATACATAGAAGGTATTTCTTGGCACTATTGAAATAAACAGTGACTCATGTGTAGAAACAGTGTGACCCTGACCTTGGCAGGCTCTCCCTCCCGGCTCTCTGGTGGTGCTGGCATAGGGGTGGAGGTTGCAGAGGGTTCCGGGAACTTGGCTGCTACCCTAGACCTCTGTTTGACTGGCGTGATATCTGATTCTGCGACAGACTGTCTATCCGAGTCTGACTGATCCTGATGTGGTGGAGCATATGGTGGTGCAACCTCCTCCATCACAGGTGGGTCCTGCAATAATACATTGTATTACATTGAACTAAATGATTAAAAAAAATATTATAGGGATAAGTAGATTCACATTTTATAAACAAATGTATATTTTTTAATACAAAGAACAGCCATCTGCAATAAACTTTTGCCTCCAGTTTTATTTGTGACCTCAAAGTAAACATGATTTGAACTATCCAGCAATGTCATTTCTAACCCTATATGTTAACTATAGCTGTAAGCTGGTTTATACAGCAGAAATGTGAAAACAAATACTCATATGATATCATAGCTCCAAAGCAATGGTATTATCAACGTAAATTTGATATATAACATGACTGGAATGTAGACTCCCTTCAATATGATGTACATCTATGAGTTTTGACCTTTATGTATAATGCTTTATGACCTTACCTGTATGTGGACACCCTTGGACATGATGTATGTATACTGCCCTATCAGTGTGACCTTACCTGTATGCGGACACCCTTGGACATGATGTATGTATACTGCCCAATCAGTGTGACCTTACCTGTATGCGGACACCCTTGGACATGATGATGTATACTGCCCTATCATTGTGACCTTACCTGTATGCGGACACCCTTGGACATGATGTATGTATACTGCCCTATCAGTGTGACCTTACCTGTATGCGGACACCCTTAGACATGATGTATGTATACTGCCATCTTAGCTCCATTTCTACCGTTCCGTTAATCTTGCTGTTGGCTCCCTTCAGCTCAAAGATGCCTTGGATGGACTTATTATGTGCTAAGGGAATAAGGGGAACATCTGCAATCCCTAAGTATGCCGTCTGCTCAGGGTCAGTATCATCAAAGACGAACACCTTCAGTTGCTACAAATCAAATATGGCTTCATTAATCATCAATTGATAAAAACACCTGCTATAAAGGAATAGATGACATATTTTTGAGGCTAGATAATTTTCTGTGTTGACCTGTTTCTGTCTGGTAAATATTAATCAGACAAAATTCTGCCTGATTTCTGTGGTCTTCGATGTGTATGAAATAATACTTATCACAGTGAACACTTATCACAGTTAACACTTATCACAGTCTACAATACAAATGATATCAACATCACATGATGTTAATTTCTTCAAAACTTTTCTTATTTCCGAGGTTTCAGGATATATATATACAGAATATTATTACAGGACTAAGCTATATGTCACTCACAAAGGTTTTTAGGTAGTGGTCCAGCTCCTTCGTCATTGGTACAGGGTAGGTCATGTGATCATTGTACTCTGGGTTGTTTGTGCTCGCAAGAATCACAGTGTCGTGGTCGTTGAAATCGAAGAATTGGTAGATACAATATGGCGATGGCTGGACATCTGAAAACACAAAGATTATTAAATCAAACAGGATTAATATATTAAACACATATTTATTTATTTTATTACTTATTAACACTGAATAAATAAATATAACTTTAGGTACAACATTTTTAATTATCGCAGCATGAATTGCTGATATTTTTCACCTTCAGTAAATTATTGAGAAAAATTTCCGAACTCAAAAAAAAAAAAAAAACAGAATTCAGAGCTGTTGGCAACATAAAAAATTCCACACCACAATCAGTTCAAGAGTCACAATGTTAACCCTTCTAAAAACGAAAATTTATCTTTTTCTTTTTTTTTTAAGCCTTAATTCCCCGATTTTCTGAGTGTCCATTTTAGGATTATGATTTTTGAAATTTTCTTACCGGGTATGTATAAATGTCAAAAATGTATCACTGTTAAACGAAATGCTAGTGACTAACTGTAACTATGAGATGCTACGTACCTATCCAGAGACATGATACACTGGTTAGGCTGTGTATATATATATAGATAGATAGATGCACTGATAATGCTGTCTTTGCCTCTACTCTAAGCAGATACCAAAACATCAGACTACAGGATTAAGAATGATATTATATCTATCTAAACAGCTACCTGGGACTATTACACTAGAAATCAAATACCTGACTTATTCTTTCTGCTGCGGATATGGCTACTATTAAGATATGAAATGCGTCAGTCGTGTACTTTGAATTATTTCTCTGGTAATGAATACTTACTGTCTCGCCGAGGTTTGATGTCGGAACATCGTAGGATTTTCACATGAAGTTCGTTCACATTGTCTGCTGGTCTCTTGGCAGCTGTCTCATCGAGTGCTTGTAAGGCTTCTGTCGCAGCCTTCTCATTTGAAGTTACATATCCCAGGGCTTTGGTTCGCTCCTAAATACATAAACAGTAAATGTTAAGGCTCTGTCAAAAGAGGTGGCTTAATTTTCACTGGCTATCGTCAACTTTGACCCAGGTATGGCTTTTATCGCTCAATGAATCAAATTTGAATAATGAATAAAATTATTGAGGAACAAAAGAGTCAAAGAATTGAATGTTTTTTGCTATGAGATGATACCTTGTACAAACGGAGAGCCTGGTCCATAGGCACACGGAGACGTATCCAGTACTCCACACTTCCAAAACCAATACCTGCTCCACCACTGCTGTCGACACCTGTAGACAAATCATGTATATGATAAGTGATCATATTGCTGTTAGGGTTTTTCCTCAATGAATTGGGAAAAAGTCCCTTGATATCAACTGGAAAACACATCAATTCATCAGCTTTGGTGTGTGTAATTTTTTTCTTTTTTTTTCATATTCAAAGAGGCAGTTTGTTTTATGACCTTGAGATAATTAAGACAGTTTTCTGGCCTTCTTAAGATTATTTCTTCAAAAAATATTATCTAAAAGCATCTACCTGGTATCTGTAGTAAGTAACAATATGGTGTAACTACTGTCCTGTAGCGAGTATTGTTTTGTATCCAGTATCTACCTGGTATCTGTAGTAAGTAACAATATGGTGTAACTACTGTCCTGTAGCAAGTATTGTTTTGTATCCAGTATCTACCTGGTATCTGTAGTAAGTATCAATATGGTGTAACTACTGTCCTGTAGCGAGTATTGTTTTGTATCCAGTATCTACCTGGTATCTGTAGTAAGTATCAATATGGTGTAACTACTGTCCTGTAGCAAGTATTGTTTTGTATCCAGTATCTACCTGGTATCTGTAGTAAGTATCAATATGGTGTAACTACTGTCCTGTAGCGAGTATTGTTTTGTATCCAGTATCTACCTGGTATCTGTAGTAAGTATCAATATGGTGTAACTACTGTCCTGTAGCAAGTATTGTTTTGTATCCAGTATCTACCTGGTATCTGTAGTAAGTATCAATATGGTGTAACTACTGTCCTGTAGCGAGTATTGTTTTGTATCCAGTATCTACCTGGTATCTGTAGTAAGTATCAATATGGTGTAACTACTGTCCTGTAGCAAGTATTGTTTTGTATCCAGTATCTACCTGGTATCTGTAGTAAGTATCAATATGGTGTAACTACTGTCCTGTAGCGAGTATTGTTTTGTATCCAGTATCTACCTGGTATCTGTAGTAAGTATCAATATGGTGTAACTACTGTCCTGTAGCAAGTATTGTTTTGTATCCAGTATCTACCTGGTATCTGTAGTAAGTATCAATATGGTGTAACTACTGTCCTGTAGCGAGTATTGTTTTGTATCCAGTATCTACCTGGTATCTGTAGTAAGTATCAATATGGTGTAACTACTGTCCTGTAGCGAGTATTGTTTTGTATCCAGTATCTACCTGGTATCTGTAGTAAGTATCAATATGGTGTAACTACTGTCCTGTAGTGAGTATTGTTTTGTATCCAGTATCTACCTGGTATCAGTAGTAAGCGAGTATTGTTTTGTAGGGATTATTTACCTGTAAGAGTGGCAGTTCCATGAATCCTTCCGTGAGTCTTGTTGAAAATCTCCTTGAAGACCAGCTGACAGGCTGCTATTGTCCTGTAGTCCTGACCGAAGGATTGGTGAAGTTCTAACGTACAGGAATCCTGTAACAAAAGGAAGTATATATTACAGCTTAGTGCTACTACAGAAACTTACATAACAACAGTCAGTCAGTTTTGTTTATTATAGTGTCATATATCACAATTACATCGTACAAGTATAAAGTTACACAGTATAAAATCATACAGTTACATAGGAGGGATCAATCATCTTAATGTAAATATATATATCAACATAATATCATAATTTTGTTAAGAACAGTAATAATACGTAATATATTAATAGATTAAACAAACTATCACATGTGCCAATCCAGAGAGCAGGTGATTGGGACAACCCCTACCTAACAAGCTCTCCGGATTTTGTACTTACATATCATATACTACATGTATAATAAATAAAAGGTTTCTTTTACATTAACTGCATTAAAACAAGATGTCTTTAAAAATAAAAACAATAGTGATAAAAAAAAGAATAAATACATAAATATAATACATGTATAGACATTATCATAATTTCCTATCACATCAGGCAGCAGGACCCGAATCGGATCACTTTTTGCAAAAACACATTTATATCAATAAAAGTGTCAACAGTTATTATAATGATGAAGCCTTGGAATACATAGTCATGCATCATTTTTTGTCAACACATGATAAATTTTGAAGTTCAAATAGCATCAGGAGATGTATTTCAAACTCAAAATCATTTTTTTGCTGTTAAAACAGAAATACTAGTTTTCATACATAAATCAAAGGTCATCATAGATTGATGGGTAAAATGACAAGACTATAGGGTAAGAGGAGACAGATATGATAAGACATATTTTGACAAGACACACAAAGAAGACATGAAGTGTGCAAGAAAAGACTTGTAGAACATTGAACACATTTGACAAGACAAAGAAAATTCAAGACATGCATGCAAATGGTTAAACGAGATTATAACATGACAGGAACACTAGCTACAACAGTATGTGTCAGTGTGTTACATAAAAGGTAACACACATTTGTACAGCGCCAAATTAACTTACCTTTTGTAAAAAGTGTAAGAAGAAGTCATCAACCTTTACGATATACTGCGATGTAAAGTCGAACTCAGGCCTGTAAAGAGAAAATAAATGGTGTGTATTCGTGATAGAACATACGGTAACCTAGCTATTTGAGAATCAGTGTGTATTCGTGATAGAACGTAACCTAGCTATTTGAGAATCAGAATATAATTTACTGTAAAATATCAAAAAGCTTTCGGTGCTAGTCAAAATAAACTCTTACTCTTTAAGTTGAGAGATTTGTAACCTATTTCAAGAACTTATAAAATCACGAAAGTGTAGCTGACCTTGAGTCATATGGCATACACAGAAAATGTACGCTTACCTTGACCCTTTGAGTACTGGAGTACTCTGAATCTCAAACTCAAAGAATTCCCAGGTGCAAAAGACAGATGGTTCATCATCACCAATTTGTTTGACACCCTCGTCAGACAGACACACCTGTAAATATAGTTAGGGTTTAGATCGAGTGTACACAAAGTAACTTGTATTGTTTGATCTCAACTTTGTACATGATGTGAAGATTTTTGAAGATTTTTTCCAAAAATGTATTTACCATTGCAATTCTGTTGTTGTTTAGTTACTACAAAGAGTTTTTAATAGTTTAATGACTGAAAGAGACATTTGAAAAAAAACTTGTTTCGACTACCACTATTTTCTACCAGTTTTTTTTAAATGTGACTCTACATACAAGTTTATCTACTGAACATGAATCTACTTTCATTCAACATCAAATTAGATGATTGATTCTACTTTCATTTATCAATGGGATGTGTTCTACTATCATTTATCAATGGGATGGGATTCTACTATCATTTATCAATGGGATGTGAATCTACTATCATTTATCAATGGGATGTGATTCTACTATCATTTATCAATTGAACATGATTCTTTTACATTTATCACAGGAATTAAATTCTATCATTTAATGATGGAACATTATTCTACGTTCATTTATCAAAGGGACATCATTCTTCGTTCATTTATCGATGGAACATTATTCTACCTTCATTTATCAAAGGAACATCATTCTACGTTCATTTATCAAAGGAACATTATTCTACGTTTATTTATCAAAGGAACATCATTCTACGTTCATTTATCAAAGGAACATTATTCTACGTTTATTTATCAAAGGAACATCATTCTACGTTCATTTATCAAAGGAACATTATTCTACGTTTATTTATCAAAGGAACATCATTCTACGTTCATTTATCAAAGGAACATTATTCTACGTTTATTTATCAAAGGAACATCATTCTACGTTCATTTATCAAAGGAACATTATTCTACGTTTATTTATCAAAGGAACATCATTCTACGTTCATTTATCAAAGGAACATTATTCTACGTTTATTTATCAAAGGAACATCATTCTACGTTCATTTATCGATGGAACATCATTCTACGTTCATTTATCAAAGGAACATCATTCTATGTTCATTTATCAAAGGAACATCATTCTACGTTAATTATCGATGGAACAATATTCTACATACATTTATCGATGAAACATTATTCTACGTTCATTTATCAATGAAACATTATTCTACGTTCATTTATCAATGGAACATTGTTCTTCGTTCATTTATCGATGAAACATTATTCTACATTCATTTATCAAAGGAACATCATTCTACGTTCATTTATCAAGGAAACATTGTTCTACGTTCATTTATTGATGAAACATCATTCTACGTTCATTTATCGATGGAACATTATTCTACGTTCATTTATCAATGGAACATTGTTCTTCGTTCATTTATCAATGGAACATTATTCTACATTCATTTATCAATGGAACATTGTTCTTTGTTCATTTATCGATGAAACATTATTCTACATTCATTTATCAAAGGAACATCATTCTACGTTCATTTATCAAGGAAACATTGTTCTACGTTCATTTATTGATGAAACATCATTCTACGTTCATTTATCAAAGGAACATCATTCTACATTCATTTATCGATGGAACATTGTTCTACATTCATTTCTCAATGGAACATTGTTCTTCGTTCATTTATCGATGAAACATTATTCTACATTCATTTATCAATGGAACATTATTCTACATTCATTTATTAAAGGAACAAGATTCTACGTTCATTTATCAAAAGAACAAGATTTTACTTTCATTTATCGATAGAACATTATTCTACTTTCATTTATCAATTGAACAAGATTCTACTGTCATTTGTCATTGGAATACGATTATACGTTCATTTATCAATTGAATGTGAATCTACTATCATTTATCAATTGAATGTGAATCTACTATCATTTATTAATTGAATGTGAATCTACTATCATTTATCAATTGAATGTGAATCTACTATCATTTATCAATAAAACATGATTGATTCTACTTCCATATTTATCAATTGAATGTGATAATGATGTGCTCACCTTCTGAACGTGTATTTCAAATAGATTCTGTCCACGTTCTAAGTGAATGGTCTCATCAAAGTCTGCAATGGCGTCCTCCTATTGGTGTACGTAAACTCATATTATATAGCACTCCCTCATATTATATAGCACTCCCTCATATTATATAGCACTCCCTCATATTATATAGCACTCCCTCATATTATATAGCACTCTCTCATATTATATAACACTCCCTCATCTTTTATTAAAATGCTGAACTTTAAAACTTGTTCTTCCATTTACAAATAGACAGAAATTATTATTGGTGTTTTAAACTGTTCATATAATTTACTACATCACAAAACTAGACCTTCATCCATGGACTTAACCGTAATAAATGACTATTTAGTAATGCTTATCTAATAACAAACTCTTGTAAAATAACGCATTTATTAAGTAAATTATGAGTCTTTCTCAAACAGGACACCAAAGATACTCAATGATATAATTACCTCATCAACAGGTGGAGCTATCTTGAACTGTTTGGTTCCATAAGCAACATCTCGTAATTGTACTTCAAGTTTCTGTACAGAAAAAAGTAATTTTATTTAGTTATATGGATAAATTACATTGATTCGACCATTGTGTTTATTATATCTGAAACTCATGTCATCTTATTACCCCTTTCATTTAGTAATTGTTTAGCTTCACCCCATATCCCCGTAATTTCTGTCTCACTTGGATCATACTGTAAAATCATAAATTTTCGTGGGACATTAAATTTCGTTTATTTCGTGGACAACAAAAATCAACGAAATTAAATCCCCACGAAAACATAAATTTGGTATGATATAGATAAGGGAAAATCAGAAATCAGCGAAATATAATGTCCTTGAAACAGGTAAATGAAAACCACAAATTTTTAACCCCACGAAAAATAAATGATTCTACAGTAGTTGCCCTGAGGTCTAGCTAGTTATCAGGTATACTGGTCTAGCTTCATCTTATGCTACAGTAACTATTTATCTCACTGAAGCCCTTCACTATACATATATGTAACAGCCCTTAAATCTAGTAATTTTGCTTACTCATTTTATCTAGTTGTTCTTTGTTTCTTCTTGATTACAACAAACCTGCGGTCTAGTACTTGGTCATTTAACTTTACTTTCACACTCTAGGAATGTATCGTTAAACCTTGATTTAATTAGCAGCTTTGATGTCTAGTAATCAAACCAGGAAATGTCTGTAAGAAATGAATGCCCCCGTCACCATGTGAAATTAGTTTCAGTGTTTGATACTCTATAAACAGTTACGACCACTTTGATCACGGGATGGGACCCGACGGACATGGGCAACACTATATGCCCCCCCCCCTCCCTCCCATTTTATGGCGGGGGCATAAAAAAAGCAGTATTATATACTCATTTAGCTTACTTTCAGACTCTGGTATCGTTTTGTCTCACCTTGATTCTAGCAGCCCTGATGTCTAGTAATCGAGCGTATTCGTCTAACTTCATCTCATACTCCTTGCGCACTTCTTCAAGTCTGTTGGTAGCAATTTCAACCTAAAAAATGAGGAAATAATTCATTGTGATTTAGTGAAGTATTTTTGACAGCCACTTAAAATATCTGATGTCCTCCACAATATAGGGGCTGGTCTAGATATCAATGCCCTCGTTTTGTTATGCGAATATCATCTTAATCTTTTCCGTATTACCATATATATAAGGTTAGGAAATCAACATGTGTGTAGGATTTCACCTTGAAATATTACTCTGAAACATGTATCAATATTTCACATGCATCCGAACAAACGAATCACTACTGCATACCTCCTGCTGGTAGTCCTTGTTGATTTTGTGTTGTATCACCAACATGTTTCGTGTTTTCTCCAACTCATGGATTGTCTCTGCATAATCAGCCTGCAAAATCACCAGGGAACGACTCACATCTGGAGAGAGAAGTAAACATGATACCATATCACAACATGTTTAATACCGCTATACACCTACTACAGTCTTAAGTTTTATACACAGTTATACAAACAATACCATATCATATTCTGTCATAAAAAAAAAATCATGTTCTGTACACAATGTAAATTTATATATTACATGTATATAATATAAATCATTCTGCCTGGCTTGAGTTGGACAGAAGTGTGCAGGGGGCTAAATGTGGGAGGAAATTTGAGCACCAAGAGTAATCTGTGGAGTCAGGCAGGTGTCAAAATGATTTTCCACGTCTGATCTGGGAATCAAATCAAACACTGGGCGTCTAGGTGAATTGTAAGTGGGCTACCCACTTCTGTACACTATTTTCCTCATATTCTGCTAAAATTCCTACTTACTTTCAGAGTAAATGGACATAAGAAACAAATTATAGTAGCTGCTATTCCATTAAATCTAAAATTTGACAGAAAGTCCTGAATGTTTCAGATTTACCTTTTCGGGTCTGTTCCTAAAAAAGGCCATTCCACTATTTGGTGTTGTACAATAACTGTCAATGTGACAGGAACCAAATGAAACTCTCTTTAAATGAACACTCAACAGTAATTTTCAGGATTTTAATGGGGATAGAAGAATTGACATGTATATTCTTATTTCTGATCACAGATTTAACAACTCAGGCCTGTTACTTACACAACGCATCCCATTATGCATATGATAGTGTAAGTAATAAATATGTTGCATATATATCATCCAAAAAGGTGAGAATATACATTTCAATCCTTCAAACAAACAACCAGTATCTATTTGGCTATAAATGTACAGACTGACCTTTGTCCTTTTCGTTGTCCACCTTCTGTAGAAAGTCAGGTTCTGGAAGTTCTTGCTGCCTCCTTTGTTTGACAAGGACTAGGGCTTCCTCTATCTCTGTGAAGTCTATGGCACTTTCCTGTGTACAACATGGTATACAGGTATTACATTCAACACAGATACTAAGTCTTGTAATACTCCACATAGACACATCACGTCATATCTGATACAGCTTTAGTATACTGACAGCATCAGCACTTGCTATATTCAACATAGAAAATTCTTACATTAACAAATATTAATTTTAACATAAACAATATTATACTTAAAACTGGCATGTTGTATTTGACAACCACACATTCATATCAATGTATACCGCAGTATACGTTATACTTGACAGATAGATGTTCTATCCATGTTATTCTTACATTGACATCTTGACAGACATATATATTGTTATACTACAATATTAATATATATCTACAAATGATGTATTCAGCATGGACTCATCTAATTCTCTATGAAGATACTTGTTATATTTACAAGCATAAATTATGAATAAAAATCAAAACTTATACAGCAGGAACGAGTTGAATAAAAAAAATATGTTCCATAAATATAAACTATATCATATTTATGTATATATAACATATATTTGTTAAACAAAACAATATGGATATATGCTATCTATTATTAAATATTTCCTCCCCACATGCATGTTGTTATTTGGACTGCTTTAAAGATTCCTCAAAATTCAAATCATCAAACTAAGGGGAGATAACCATTTCAAGTATCCTCTAAGGGAGATAACTACCTTGGTGAAAAATTTCATCTTCTGTTTGAGATCATCATATTCCTCCTTCTGCTGATAGTGCTCTACCTGCACCTGTCTGAATGTGGCCTGGAGCCTCTCATGTTGGTCTGTCGGGAAAAAATATACACATATTTCTACCGAGTGGATAGAGAAAAAAAATATGGATGTTGTTTTGCCACATGAAAAAATAATATACATCTCAAAATGAGAAAATGTATTGAAGCATGAATATTGGTCAGTCAGAATAGAAAAAAATACAATAATGTCTGTCTAGTCTAACTGATGTATTTACCTTTCTCACTAGCCAACTGGTCGAGAATTCCACCCTTCTCCCCGAGGTCGGCCTTCAGTGTGGCCTCCAGTTGGGCTATTTGGACTTTGAGGGCATTTTCCCTCTGTCGCCATTCTCTTTCTCTGTCCAGGTCAAAAGCACTGGCAAAACCATAAATCAAATACTTTATAAATAAAGAATAATAAAATGTGCTTTAATTTCTCTTGTATTAGTGTCATCAGAGTTATGGAATATTGTGTAAATGATAGAGCTTAAAGGTTAAGTACCAGTAAAAGTTTGTAATCAGAAGGATGTGTTCAATGTCACAAAATCAATTTTCTTTATGCGGGTGTAGATTTTATACCTGTTCACAAACTTCTCGTTAGCCTCCTTAAGGATCTGGGTTTCCTTTTCCAGACTCATGATCTGTTCATTCAACTGAAACAAATAAATTGATATTAAATAATTTGTATGACAGTTAAAATCAACACAGACTTTGAATTGCTGTGTTTGATTTCATTAGATATATCTCTTTACTCAGTATTCAAGGAATTCTTAACTACTTTGAAATTAGTTTCATTTTAAAAAAGAGTTGTGGTATAGGTATCTGTATAATTTTATCTCCGCATTTAAGCTTCCTATTGTTGTATGGCCATACCAAACATCAGTTTGTTCCTCAGCATGTTAAGGCAGACACTGGTTTCCTCTATTGTGTTAGTTTCCTGTTGCTGGTCATACCAAACACATACCTTCTAAGTCTTCCTGCCTAGGAGGGAATCTGGAGGGAACCCCAAGTTTTCACCCTCATATTTTTTTTTTTAATTAAAGCAGATTTAATGACATCTTGCCTTCAGACTAAATTTAATGAATCCATTGTTTGTAACAGCTTAAAGTGTGGTATTTTACACTGTCATGGGGTACCAGTAAGTGTTTTAAGAGATTTTTGAAATCTTCAATTCAGCTTTTCAACCATGATTTTTTTTCAAAAATACAAATATCGTTTTGTTTTATAGTGTGAAATAGTTGACTTAGGTACCTCTATAAGCTTGCTGTTGTTAGTTGTACCAAACTTGAGTTCGTTCTGAAGTGTAAGTACTCGGTTCTGCTCCTCATTGACCTGCATGTTGAGTCGCTCCATCTCCATCAGCATGCTGTCATGGCTGTGCTTCATTGTCTGCATGTTCTGTCAAAGTATTGTTTGTCACATAATTACCTGGTACACTCCTTATATAGACATAATGTCATTGTTTGTTACATAATTACCTGGTACACACCTTATATAGACATAATGTCCATGTTTGACGTCTGATGTGAATTGTTGACTCTTACATGGCAAGTTAGTAGTGCATGTCTTGTTACATGATGACCGAGTACACACCTTATATAGACACAATGTCATTGTTTGACTTCTGATGTGAACGATTGGCTCTTACATGGTAAGTCAGTAGTACACGTATATATAGTGACATTGTGATCCTTATGCATTCACTTCACATTGTCTAATATGTGTAAATGTGTAATATGCTAATGGAAGTTGCATCAGTATTTCAGGTCACATTTTACACCTATACAACAAATCTGAGTAAAATCCACAGATATTTTAAATTTTGACCAATCAAAGGCCCCTGCAGCCATGCTGGATGGCCAATCAAATAACAGCAGTTGCAGTAGTGTTCCCAGTCCCATTATACACTTACATACCAAATATGTCAGAAATCTGTCAATATTTAAATTTAAACTAATCACAAACCTAATAGATCAGTGGCCATGTTGTATTTTGGATGACTAATAAAAAAAGAGCACGCAACTTTTTATTCAAAAATACTGACGTAAACTTTTATTAAATTTTTGCTTACGTTTTTGAGAAAAGCAGCAGACACACTGCTGGCAGAAGCAAGTGGAAGATGAAACGAGGCAAAAACAGTAAGCCCCCAAAACTTTGATTTGAGGACTTGATTCCTCAAATAAGAGGATATTAAAAGTAATATATTACACTCCTAACTTTTATTTTACATTTGGCAAAAAGGAAATTTTGAAAGTTTTATTTTACAGCTGAAAAAACTGTTTATGGCATCTCAAATATTTACCTGTTCAAGAAGAACATATTTTTCCTGTAGAGTAAAAAATTTCGTGGACTTCTCTTTCACTTCTCGCTGTAAACGTATCAGGTCTATGTTTTCTTGGACAGTCACTCTGTAAAAAGAAAAGCAACAAATCATTGAGACAATCAGCAAAATGTCCTTCATGTATTTTAATAACTTTTTTCATTTAAAGTTTCCATGCCAATCAATTCCTACATCAAGTATGTTGTAAGTTAACTCAATGGATGTAATATATAAGTAAAGAAAAAACATGAAATTATTTTCATGTTACCTTTTTAAAGGTTAAATATGAGTGAATATTTTTTTGTATTTTAAAGGTACTTATTTTAGTACAAACAAAATTTAGCACAAAGAATTGCACAAAACACACTTAATTGCAGTCATAAACTTAACCATCACATCAACACATCTGCATCTTCTATTAAATTAAATTCAATCCACTTCTGTAGCATAATTGACTCAAATTAAGTATACATCAAGCTAGCTGTGTGACAAGTGTTCCAGTGTGATACAGGAGTCATAAATTATTTTCCTGTATTTAAGTTTCCCAGCTGATAATTTATACCCCACCCGAGCTAACTCTTTCATCTAGATTTTGCTAAAACAGGAGAAAATTCAGCTGAATATTGAATCATCTACTTTAAGATATTGCACCTAGAATGCTGTACCATGGTATATGTATTGCATTGTGAGATAGATATTGTTACATTATTATTATCTGCTGTAATATTGTTATATTATTATCTGCTGTGATATTGTTATATTATTATCTACTGTAATATTGTTATATTATTATCTGCAGTGATATTGTTATATTATTATCTGCTGCGATATTGTTATATTATTATCTGCTGTGATATTGTTATATTATTATCTGCTGCGATATTGTTATATTATTATCTGCTGCGATATTGTTATATTATTATCTGCTGCGATATTGTTATATTATTATCTGCTGCGATATTGTTATATTATTATCTGCTGTGCTATTGTTATATTATTATCTGCTGTGCTATTGTTATATTATTATCTGCTGTGCTATTGTTATATTATTATCTGCTGTGATATTGCTATATTATTATCTGCTGTGATATTGATATATTATTATCTTCTGTAATATTGTTATATTATTATCTACTGTAATATTGTTATATTATTATCTGCTGTGTTATTGTTATATTATTATCTGCTGTGATATTTTTATATTATTATCTGCTGTAATATTGTTATAATATTATCTGCTGTAATATTGTTATAATATTATCTGCTGTAATATTGTTATAATATTATCTGCTGTAATATTGTTATAATATTATCTGCTGTAATATTGTTATAATATTATCTGCTGTAATATTGTTATAATATTATCTGCTGTGATATTGTTATATTATTATCTGCTGTGTTATTGTTATATTATTATCTGCTGTGATATTTTTATATTATTATCTGCTGTAATATTGTTATATTATTATCTGCTGTAATCCCACATGTATCCCTTACCGTTGTTCTGCTGTAATCTGCTGTTTTATCTTTACCAGGTCTTCTTCATGCTCTGCTTCCTTCAGCCTCAGCTGCAAGTTAAATACAACATTGAGTTGTATGTCACATGTTAATTTAGACACCCTGTACATCTTCAAACTGTAAACTAATTACAGAGGCTAAAGCACCTATTTACATTATATTTTCTGCTGTATACAATGTTAAGAGTTCAGAGAGGAAATAACAGAAGACCCCTTTCACCCCTATGTACCTTTAATAAACCCTACCATGCATTGATATGGATGCGTCCTTTATGGTTTACAGTAGTAAAAGGGTTAAGTGCTGCACAGTAGGCAGTAGATCATTTTGTTCTCTTCTATGTCTGAATTAAAAAGGCACAGAAGAAACCAGGCAATTCTGCAGAAGGTCCCATACTAGCTAGTCATCTCTTAAGCTCTTGCTATTTTCTAGAGTCACCAAATCTACAGAGGGACACATGTTCTACAATGAACTGTACAGATATAGGGGACCTGTCCCCTGATATACTTACTTGCTGTCTCATGTTTTCCACCTCCATCTCGTACATTTCCATTTGTTCTTGTAGCTGTGCAATATGGTCATCCCTTCAAAGACAAATACTCAAGTAAGCTTACATTGATTAATCTTTACCAGTAACAAAGTAAACAAATAACATTACTTCCTTACTCGAAAAAATGTAAACTATCGCACTATTTTTTTAATATGTTATTGATGACATACATTTGATAAGGGACCAGGAATGTGTTCAAATAAAGTCATTTCATTATAGAAGTATGAAAGAATTTTCTATAAAATATTTTGCATATCATAAGATGTTATATATAGAGGATCTAGCACGAGTGTATATGAAATTAATATACGAGTTCAATAAATTCATTATAACATGAACACGAGTGTTAGATTCTATTTATTATATAATTCGAGAAACCTACCTACATAAGTGGTTTCAATACTAACGTCTCTATATGCAATGACGACGAGAAAGGACGCATCACATATACTAATTTGAGAGCATGTTCCGCTAACAAAAGTAGTCCGCAGAATTTTATCAGAATAATAAATGGCCAACAGTTTTACTTTTAACGATCATTTTAATTGTGATAACAATTGAAATAATAAAAGTTTACAAAATATGACTTCT